GTCGAGAGCTCTGCTTGGTGCAGATGAATCAGGGTGATAGAAGTTGGAGGAAAGGAAAACTTAAGAGTCTTCTCTTGCTCTTTTTTCCCGAGGCACAGTCTGAGCTGTGCCATGCTGCAGTATCTACACGCCAGCTGCAGTGGGCCTGGCTGTACCTCCAGTGCAGCATCATCAGCCAAGCTTTTGAATTTGCCATCACCCAGCAGACCCCGACTTCCTGAGGGATGCTGAAGTAACAAGGATTGTCATCTTCCAGGGAGATTGCTGATTAGGTACAGTTAAGGGGCTACAACATCTGTGGCTACGACTTTCCTAGTAATTAAAAAGCCAAGGACTTTTTTATTGGCTTTCAAGGACAAGTAGCACAGTCCAGCCACGCCTGTATTGCTAAAATCTCTTCTTCCCATAGCAGGGTGGACTTCTTGCTGTTTTGGAGACCAGAATCTGGCCTGTAGTGTCCTCCAGAGTGTGTTTCTGCTCCATCTGGGAGAGTCTCAGAAGCTGAAACCGTTCCTCAAAAAGTCCACTAAAGGTTGCGTGAGAAGTCCCGTGGTCCAGGGCCTTTTGCTTGCCTGGTTGAGGCACCACTGTTGTGACCAGGACGTGGCCTGTGACAGGCTGCATTTCTCCTGCAGAATGTGCAGCTCATTTTTTGGTGCCCCTCACCTTGCTGCAGCTATCAGAAAAATAGGGGGCTATGAGAGGCATTGTTTTACAATGGCGTTGTTACTTTTTTGCAACAGCATTGAACACATGCACTTTTGTCCTTTCCTAAATTATCAGTTTTGCCCTGTAGAAAAACAAAGTCAACCTGACACTTTAAACAAATTTAAGCTACTGTAGAATGACTAATCATTTCATTGCACAAAAAGCCATTTTTCATGCTTGTTGCAGAAATCGCGAGATTGCACTGATAAAAGTACCTTTTTTTGGTGGGTAAACTCCTTATGTTTTAAGAGGTGAAATCAGTCTTGATTATATTCTTCAGTCTTCAGTGCTGAATGTTGATTTCTGTTTTGAATTACTGTTGTTCTGCTCTTTCAGGTCTGTAATTGAAGTGAAAATGGTCTGTAATTCTTAGGGGTGGCACGCCAGAAGTTTCTAAGTAGGTTTGCCCTGTGGCTGGGTGTAGTTTGGGACAGCATATGTTAATACTGCAGAATTACAGGCCATGTGAAGCTTGCTTATTTCCAGTAACGTGCAAACTCCCAAGGCACACGTCTTTAGGAAGTTGCAAATAGCTGAGTGAAGAACTGTAAGGCTGCGGAAGACAACAGTTACATTGGGAAAGAGGCATTTCTTTCAGCTAGGGCTTATTCTTTTGTTGAATATAGTGGCTGTTGTAAAGAATAGAGGAGAATTATGAAATGGGTTCATATTAAAAGTGAATTTTACTTCTGGTTCTTACTGGAGTGTTTTTTCCTTTTCAAGATGACATTGCGATTCTCACCAAGTTCAAGCCATCACAGTCAGAAGGTATTGTACTAACCCATGTTACACCTTCCTCCCTTGTGTCTGTGTCCTCTGTCCCTTTTGTTTTCTGCTGGGAGCCTCTTGGAAATCAGACTTCAGTTAATATGAGTCATTGATATCCCCTATGGGCCAGGCCTTTTGCAGTGTGATTTGCAAGTCAATTGTTGGCTATCGGTGGGCAGCTCTCCTGGTTAAGAACTAACTGGGCATTTCCGTTGTTCCTGGTGCTTGTTGTGGTTCTGGGATGTGGCTCCTTTACACCTTCCTACATGACTTGGACATACATTGCTTGTGCTGCTCTTGTTCAGGAATCTGTTCATGTATTTTTCAAGGAGCGAACATATTATATATGTTGTACTTCTCAGTTAATGTATGTTTTGCATTTTCTTTTTACCTTCTTTTGTGCTGCTCTAGGGTTATTCAGGTTTATTCACGTGGGTTTGTACCAGGGTGAATTTATGCTGATACTTTTGGTCTGTGTTTGGCCCTGCCACCTGTGAAAGCTTTGCTCTTTCCTTGCCAAGTTATGGGAAAAGAAGCACTGATAAATGGGAAAGTTGTCCTTGAAGAGAGCTTCTTGTATAAACTGCTTTAATTGGTATTCTGTGATTGGCCAGTTGTCCTCCAAGGTCGCTTGAAGGAGAGATTGAGGAGGAGGATGAGGAAGGCTTGGCCCCAGACTCAATTAAGAAAGACCCCCAAAACATTCTGCGTGTGTGTGAGGGGATTTCCCAAGTTCTCACGTGCACAGAAGAGGTGCACTGACATAACGGGGGGTGGGACTGAGGGCCTCGGGCTGGGCGGTGCTGGCCACACCTGGGAGGCTGTGGCCACTCAGTTAATTGTATAAAAAGCAGATAGTGCTTTCTTGGGGCGAGTTAACTTCACACCAAGGACAACTTTGCCTTTTGGCGGGGACGCCTGCCAGATTGTGAACTTACCGACTCTCCAAGGATGCAGCTTCTGCTATGGGTAATTACAGGCCTGCTAGGTCGGTAGGATAACTTCATGAGCAACAGCTGGGTAGCTGGGGGAGGGAGGGTGTCATGCTGGGGGCTTATTTCTCTCCTCCTTCCTCCCTTTTGGGTTTGTTTGTTTTGTTGGCCACCTCCTGGTAATAAATATTGGGTTTTGTTAAGCTTTTAACGGTGTCATGGTTTCAAGAAAAGATACAAGGACTCCCTGAAACAACATCTCAGCCTTGGCCATATTGATCACCATAACTGGTCTACTCTGGCCTCAAATCGGGAGGCCTGGAGACACACCATCTATAACGCAGCTGTCTCCTTCGAGAACACACGCAGGATCACTCTCGAGGAGAAAAGGCAACGCAGAAAGAACCGTGTATTGCAGAATACACCATCTAAGGAATCTTTCTACTGTGCCTTTTGCAATCGGATTTGTCTGTCACGTATTGGCCTCATAAGCCACCAGCATGCCTGTAACAAATGTGGATAGAGCCTTCCCAAATCTTCGTTCACGAAGCCCGGCCATGATGATGATGGTTTCAAGTTTCAGTATGTCTCGGACCCCTCTCTAATACAGGGTCAGAGAGAATTTCCTTGCACAAGTTGCCTAAGTAATCAACCACAGTATTGGGAAAGCATTTAAAAAGTGGAACTCTGAATTATAATTCTTCCTGAGGTCAGACTTTCACAACTACAGAAAGGATAAAATCCAGAAAAAAATACAAAGGCTGTTATAGGCCGTGGAATCAGTTCAAGTCCCCTCGGCAGCATCAGCAAATTGAATGTTCCTGCTGCAGGGACGAGGTGCCCAGGCTGCTTGTGGCCTGGGACTGGAGGGTTGTGTGACAAAATGTCACATTTGTTTCTCCTGCATATGTTGGACGTTTTTGCTGTGTTGGGAGGTGAACTGAGTTCAGTTCTGTGCTGCAGAGCTTTTCTGTGTTTGATGTTCTGTCTTACAGCATAGTCCCTGTAGCATTTGGGATATATTTGGGTAGAAAGAATGATCCCACATTGTTTACTTTCAGACTAACTCTTTAGAGGTGACTTAACACTTGTCTCCACACACATATCAGCACACAGAGACACTTTTCTACAAGTGCACAAATAAAACCCAAGTGTTCAGATTGTAGCTATTAGTACAGATTTTGCAGGTGTAGTTTGCCTTAGCAGAATAGCATGCAACAGCTTTAAATGTCGTGGCATTCAGAAACTTATTCATTATATTTTACATACCATTATGTACCATTGCCCAGTTTCTCATTATATTGTATGTAAGCTTATAAATTAGAGACCATTTTCTGTAAGTGAACTTAGAGAAAGAAAAAAATGGTAAGAAACAAAATACTCCCAAGCTCTACTTAAGTAGCTTATTATTTATTTTCAAAGAACCAGTTTATATCCTGCCTGGATACAATTTTGGCATCAAATATTTGCAGGTTAAAAAAAAAGAAAAAAAAGTTGGGTTTCTGGTAGGAATAATCTAATTGTAGTTGTCTTGACAGTGGTCCAGTCTAAGATGGACCAGTTAGTCAGTCTGTCCAGTCTAAGCTGTACTCAGCAATACCTCCTTGATGGAGAGAGGAGTAGGATGAATTCTCATTTTTGAAAGAAAGAGACACCATTATTAGATGCCTGCTCTAGATTTTGATGAGCTGTTTTCAAAACAGCTTATCCTTTTCCATTGGTGGTGGAAGTTATTGAGATGCCTGATTTAGGAGACTGATGTGTCAGTCTAATCACCGGAGAGATGGTTGTTTACCAAAACTTCTTGGAGCAGGAGCCTATAGCTGATGGCTCAGAGTTGTTCCCCAGAGGAAACCAATGACAGAGTAAGTTCAGAAGCACAAAACCAGCTGATGTCTGGTTTAGGGTTCTGAAGGTACTGAATATGGTTTTCCTCCCTAACATTAACATTTAAGTAACAGTGTCCTTGGTGAAGTGACTGTATTTGTGGGAAAGTCACGTTGGAGTTCACTGCTGTTAAAATGAAGGTAGTTTCTTTTGGTTTGGGTTGTTGTTCTTGTTTTGGGGTTGTTTTTGTTTTTTAAACAGCAAGAAGCTTAGTTAGGTTCATATTACTATTCTTGATCTGTTGTCATGTCTCCATTAGGTGGGCATCTGTAATCTTGAGGTTATGCATCATTAACCCCTTAGCAAAAAACCACACCCTAATTCAGTGTCTAGCAAGCAATCCCGTGGGTAATTGACTTTTCATAACAGAGGCAGCAAAGCTCTGGGTGTGAGACCCTCTTATACAGCAACCTAGCAGGTATTTGAAACAAGAAGGATACATGATGGCAACAGATTTTTGCTTGTCACAGTTAAAAATATGTTTCTGTGAGTGCAGAGTTACACCAAGGTAGGACAGACTGAGTGTATTGTCTTGCAGCGTTTTTTCCCCTTTAAATAACTGTTCTTGGAGATTGACTGAGGATTATTTTCCACCTTTTCCTTGTTCATAGTTCAATGCCTTCAAGGTCCATGTCATTTTCAGAGACAGTAATATTTTAAAATAAGGAATGTATTGATGTGAATCTCTCTTTCAATGTTCCTTAGGGGAAGAATGCAATGGACCCTTAAGTGAAACCATTTCAACTGCAGGATCAGAAATCCCAAGCAGCTCTGAGGTAAGGTACAGTATGGATGGTGTTAGCTAATGTACTGCTGGTGGGAAGAAAGAAGAGTGGTTGCTGTGAATTGCACAGTTAGTTTTAAAACTAATATTTCTTTTGGATTGTCTTCTACCTCCTTTTCATCCATGTAAACATTTCCTTCCTGTGTTGTTTTGAAAGAGCAAAACTGTGGATGTAACACTGATACTCACTGAGTCTTGTAAGAGACTTAACAATGTCAGTGCTACAAAACAGTAGGGGTAGAAAACAGTATGAACTTAATGGTGTTTCCAGTATTAGTCTTGAAATTAGAATCACACAATCATTAAGTGTTTGGACAACTGGAAAAACATAATGTTTCTGCACAAAGAAAATGCTTTGTTTTAAGCTGGGTATTCCATGGCTGGCCTGCTGGGGAGATGGAGGCATGTGAGTGTTCTGCTGCTCTAGGAATGTTGTGACAGCGCTGCAAGACGCGCGAGAAAGCAAATGACGGTTTGAGTTACTAAAATACCTCTTCCTTGCAACACGTGCAATATGAAAAGCATCATCAGCTATTTGTCTTTTCACAGCACTTCATTGCTTAATATGTGCAGTACACAATGTCGTGTGGTAGCAGTGTGTGGTTAGTATTCAGTTAAGAAACAAAAAGAATATTGAAAATACACGTTCTTGAAATCGGTATTTTATTTATTTTCATTCCTATAGTCTGATTTCTTTATTGTTGGTATAGGCTTAGAGGAAGATAGGAAGAGTTTCAGATAGGAAAAGAAGCAACTGTTCTGTCGAAGTAGAGTCTTACACTGGCAATGAGCACTCATCAGAAGTGATGTCTGTTGAGTGTTGAAAAACTGCAACTGTTCTGCTGAACTTCTTAAAAGTAAAACATGTCCTCACCTACCTCTGAGGGTCAATTCTGGAGATGATCACATGAAGACAGAACTCAGAAGAGCTTCCTAAATTACACAGTTCTTTATCTTCCTAGAGCATGCAACCATATCATCCAAATGTTTTTATAAATGTACCAGTTCCATCTTAAAACTTGTTCGTATGTTCACCCTGCCACTTTCTGAATCTGTTGTATGAGTTGTAATCATCTTTTTCACCAGGAAAATTTTCAGTGAACAGCTATATCAAATAGTTCAATGAGCAATGGGCAGACATGATCTCCAATTATAGTGTATGAATCATCATACCATGATAAGCTGATTCTGAGTTACTTGTGAGTCTCTGAGTGGATGGAGATGACCTATTTCACCAAAGCTTGAAAGAATTCACTTCATGCCTTAGGATGTATGAAAAGACAGGGAACATGGGAGAAGGAGTGCAATGCATATGTCATATATGTAGAGACATGGGATTTGAACCTTTTTTGAAGGGTGAAAGATTCATTATGGGATGAGAAAGGACACTCTGATCTTCAGCACACTCTTGTCTGGGAAAAATATATCTGGTTATCCTCTCAAAAATCTCTCCTTGATAACTTTATGCAGCCTTGTCGCTTGTTTCTTCTTGTGTTTCCTTACATAAGTATTTTTCCTCTTAATTTGTTCTTAAGTATCTCAAAATATTTTCATATTAGCAATATCAGTCTGAGTTGACTTGATAACTTGGGTTTTTTGTTTTGTTGTTTTCCTTGCTCCCTCTGAGAGGACTTGTTGACTTTAGATAGTTTGTTTCTGCAGATCAGCTGGTCATCTGATATTTGCTTACATTAAAATTACTACTTTTCTGTGCTTTGCCTTATCCTACACCATGTCCCGTAATACATTGTCTTTTATCTGATTTTTGCTTTCTGTGCATTAGCCAGACATAAAGCTAGAGAGTTATTCTTAATCTTCGTGCCCGGTTTCACACTCTTATCACTCATGACAGGCTTAGTTCTTGATTAATAATGTCCTAGATATTCAGGTTAGGTCTGTACTTAGTTTTTCTATGAATTCATTCCAGTAGTAAGATAGCCCCTAATATTTATGGGATTTTTTTCATAAAATGTTAATCTTTTGTCTTCATGTGTTGTCACAACTTCAGGTGTCTTCTGTATAAACTGGAAGAATTTCTTTTCCCTGAGTTCTTTGCTAGGCTGCCTTTGACATCCTTGATGCATTCCTGTAGGAATTGAGCAGGGTCTTCTATCCCAGCATGAAAGACAAGCTGTGGTTTCTCCTCTTTTCACCAAGCCCTTCTGAGCTGGGGTCAATATGCTTTGTTCTTGTCTCGACAAGTAGCACATTTCTCTATTTAATGATTTTACTCCTGTGGTAGGTTGGTAATTTTCTTGTCACTTAACAATGTTTCTGCAGTTGAAAAATATGAACATTTGGAAGTCTTAAACCAATTGAAGGCAAGTAATTTTGAAACAGGAACGGAATTAAATAAAACATTGGAAAGAGTTAAATGAACTTACACGCAGGTCACAACTTCATTAGGCTCGGGCTGTCTTTTGGAAGAGAAAAAACATAACGTACAGTAACAATATGTTTCTGCTCAGCAGAAATTCTGTGCAGAGAAATTCTATTCAGAGAAAAGCTGAGGCCTTACCATTGATTAGAGGAGGGAAAAAATAAATCTAGATTTAATATGGAGAGCAGGAAACATTACCTGTCCATAATTCAGTGATTGTTTCTTTCTTTCTTTCTTTCTTTCTTTCTTTCTTTCTTTCTTTCTTTCTTTTGTAATCTGTAAAGGAATATGTGATTTGGACATAAGGGGTGATGCAAGTAAAACAAAGGCAAAGGTGAAAAACAGTCTGTAGTGAAGCCTGCCAACATATATACAAAAGTTGGATGAAGTCCAGGACTCAAAGAACATTTGAGTCTCCAATCTGTGGTGCGTTTGGTCCTTTGTGATTTTGCCTATTTCACCCTGGGGTTTTTTTTGTTTTGTTTTTTTTTTTAATCTTCTTCTTCAGCCTCTGTATTTTTCTTATTATTTAATCTCCCACAAGAACAAAATAAAAATAAGATCACTTGGAGTTCTGCAGCTTTTCATATTCCAACCCTTATAGAGTAAATCATCTCTAGATGTCATGCAGGGAAGCGAGGAGACGTTATCAGCAAACAGGAGATGGGAGAAGGGGGAAAAAAAGGATATGAGGATATTTTCAAATAAGTGCTGCAATGGGAACTGCTTCCAATTATGTCCTTGTTAAATCACTAATACACAGACAGCTGCTTCTGTTAGGGATGGGCAACTGCCCTGAGTGAATCTCTACATAGAATCTACCCGAATCAGTCTTTATGGAGTTCCTGTTCCAAGAAATACATAAATGCCTCTGAAAGTCCTTTCAAGCAAATTGGAAAATGAATGCAGTGAAACCTGAGAATTCATTTTTCCTCTGTGCTTTACGCAGAGAGAGTGCTAGAAAAGTATGTGGTGGTGAGTCTGTTCAGGGGTTGTAATTAGTTGTTCAAGTTACAGAGTAAATGAGGACGAAACCCACTGACAAAATAGAGTTCCTGTACTTAGGAGGAAAGAAGGTTACTCAATTAATTCAAGACTGGAAGAAAGGTTAAAAATTTGAATTTGTATGAAATTCCCTAATAGTAAAAGTTCAGGCCATTCAGAAGGGATAAATGTAAAATTAGTACAGATTTTGTCCAAAATTGAATCCCTGGGTTTTAGTACATCAGCATCTGTAAGATGTGTACACAGAGGACTATTTGTCCTCTGCTGTTCCAATTAAGAAGTACAAAGTATTTTAAAATGTTTACTTGGTATGCATGCGCACCCCTTGGTATGCAGGTGACTGCACTACTCTGAGGAAGGCTGCAGGATTGTGCCCTAATCTAGCCCTGAGGAGTTAAAAATTATTTTTGCATGGTTATACATGAAATTTTCACTTTTCTGTTAATTCCACACCAGTAAAATGCTCACTAACTCATTGTTAATTGGGATTTTCCATAATGGAACTTGATCATGAGAAAATCTGAGAACAAGTTGTCTTTATTTAAACCAGGTAAGAAGTAAATTGACAGAACTCCATCAAATTTATTAAAGCAATGCATTTTACCAAAATTAGGGGTATGACGCATAGATTATTATTTTTTTCAGAGCTGCAGGTGTTCCAAATTAATTGTTTGGGTTTTTTTTCCTGAAGAAACACCATCATAATATACATTACTTTTTATGCTTGTTAATTTTTCAATTCAGACAAGGTGGATTTTCAAGTAGAGAGAAAAATATAATACAATTATCAGTATTGTGAAGGCAGACCAAATTGGATTCAAAGTCTAAATGGAAGCACAAAAATACTTCTTCCAAGTCTAACAAAAACACAATCTGAGGGCTATTTTGGGGAGAGCCAGAGTACATTAAAGGCTTATGAGAGTGGATTCCAGAATAAGAAGGACCAACCCACCACTGCTGCCACCACTGCCAACCTTCTTGGTTTTCCTCTCAACAGAGTTGGACTGTTTGAGTTGGGTCCTGTTTTGGGGGTCATGTGTTACCAAGATTGGACCCCCTTTGTGCTGTACATGGATTTTGGCCTACAATGGAAAAGTGGTGCGTTTCTACAAGAGTACTTAAAATGTGCAGGAGAGGGTTGGAGCACCAGTTTTACAATAGTTAACCCCAATGACCCGAGCTAATTAATTGCTAATTAATTGCAGACAGTTGTCCTGAGAGTAGGGTAGGTTCCCTAGATTAACAGGAAAGCATTTCACAGAATGCAGAGGAATGTACAGAGGCCTCTGCCAACTGTGCATCTTCACCTCACAGCTGAGTGTTTCACTAAATGTATTAAAATTCTGTCTCTGTGGGCAGTGAGCACCAGTGGGTGGCTAAAACCTGGACTTCCATCCAGCCATGGAGGAATGTGTGGGATGGAGAGGCTGGATGAAAGTAGATGGAAGAATCCCAGCATGGATGGGGAGGGCAGTGTGCAGTGGAGAGATCAGGAGCTGTGGGGCAGCACTGACAGCAAGGCTGTGCTTTCATGGAGGTTCAGTTTGTACAGTACTTTACATGGCAGGTACTTGCAGTGTATAACTGGAGAAAAACTCTCTGCTTAATCGTCTCAGCCCTTCGTTCTCTACTAACAGAGCAGGTTTTTCCTGTAGCATCAGTGACATGAGGATTAGAGTTCTAAACCCAGGTCAGAGTATCTCACAGGAAGAGCATAGTGCAGCTATTTATATTTGCACTGGTTCTCATGTGGATTCCTTGCCAAAATCCGGATCGATCTTTCTGTGTTTATTTGACTGTGTTCTGAAAGGGACGTTTTTGTCTTACTTAGATAAGCAAATACCCAGAGATAACATCATAAAAAGAATGAAAAAATGTGTTTATGTATTACTTGACGTGTCAATAGGACAAAACCAACACGTTTGTTTCACAAAATTACAGGAATGAAATTCAGTGGTTTCTCTCAAGAAAAATGGTAATAAAAGTGAAAAATATTGTTTTCTAATTTAAAAAATAATAAACAGTACTTTATGAAAATTGGTTTTAGGGTAATAAACCTTTTGAAATATTACAATTCTAAAGCAATAAATGATGGTCCAATAACGAAATGCTGTTAGTATTCTGCTTCTACTGAAAGTTAATTGAATTCCATAGAGAACTGTTATATTTTCATAATGCCCTTGCACTGTTCAGTTGCACTGTTTAAACCTGTCTGTGGTTTGTGTACAGAAGCAAAACAAAAGAAAAGTGTGATGTTATTGGCTATCAGAATTAGATATCGCAGAACAGCTGAGGTATTGCAAACCATTGTTCTTTCCAATGGCAAAGTCTGATCTCAAAATCCATCGCTGCTGCAATCCCACAGTGGGGATGGCTATGTTGTAGGATGGCTGTGCTCTGCAGAGCTCTCTGTTCTTGGTGTTCCTGTCACCTCTGTGTAGTCTGGCCTGAGGATGTTGCAGCAGCCCCCAGGCCCACATACAGGAAAATAGCACCAGGTCTTGTACAATTAAAATCAGGGTAGAGCCTCACTGGCTGTGGATCAGAACTGGAAGCTGGAATGCCCTCACTAGTCTCATTAAGAATAACAACTGCAACTACTGGTACCAATTTACCTTGTCTACACTGGGAGATTGAGGATTTCTTTCCTTGCATTTGTTTCTGTTCAGTGCACGTTGTATAATTTCAGTTTGTATTTCAAGAAATAGCCATTTAAGGGGCATTGCACTGTTCTGAATGCAAGCACAGCCGTCTATGCTATGTACACTTTCTGTCTTTGGTATCAAAATAAATTAGAGTACTGTTAAAAGTTGTCCTTCATCAGCTTGTAAACGGTAATCCCTGCAAACTTGTTTAGACTTTATTTTTTTTCTAAGGGAAATGCTGAGGAATACTGTATGGGTCTTACCAAAAATGGTAATTGTTAATACTTAAAATTTATAGGGGCCATGTAAAAGTTGGTGGCGTAGGCTAGAGACCAAGCTTGCCTGAGGGAGATTGCTTTAAACTTTGACTATCTAGACTGAAAATCCATCTACTCAGAAGAGCTTTTATCAACTTAAGCCAGAAACTTCGCTGTTTCTTCTGAATTAGCCTTTTATTTTTAAAGCATCCTTTGCATCATCGCTAACAACATTATGTTTTTCCCGTGATGCCACTGGCAGGGCCTAAGCAGCACTGAGACTACTTTACTCATCCCTGAACATCAAGTGGTAAGCAGTAAGCAATATTCATGCTTCCTTGCATGAATTTGTGTGGCGTCTTCTATTACAGTATGCCAAAACATCCCTCACCAGAAAATTTTCCAGTTTCAAGGATGCCATCCTTCCAAAAAAGAATCTTTTCTAGCTTATAAATTATGAATGTGGTGTTTGCATTTTTTTTTCCTGGTGATGATTTAAAAAAAAATTCAAGCAAATAAAAAAGATAATAGACAAAATTGGAAAGTTAAGATTGGTGGAGAAAACTGGAAAGTTTGCTTTTTTTATCATTGTTTTGGTTTGATGGGCTATAGGGTACATTCTGACTCTGGTGTTATTAACAAATGTGGGATCCCTTGTTACCATGATAGCCTGAGGGCTGTGTGAGTCAGCATGATACTTTAAAAAGTTTTAAAGAGCAAGAAACAAACACTGATGTAATTTGAAACATGTTGCCTCTTTTTTTTTCATTGTAGCAAATAATAAGGAAAGGCTCAAAGTAGCCACTTACTGAAATTCACAGAAAAGATAACTGTATAAATTCTCAAATATATCAGAAAACTTAAAATAATAATTATTGTTTTATGGAGAAAAAGTACAAAAATTCACTTAAGATAACTGAAGAAGTACATGCTGAGGTGTATTAAACCTGTCTGCTCGCTTACATTGGGCTCTGGTGTCTTCCATTAACACCTACGCTCTCTTAGCATACTTTTTATTTTTCTTTGTTCTGTTCTTGTTTATCCAGAGAGGCTTTTTATGTGCGTTTAAATTTCAGTGCAAATATCTTGGTGTCTTAAACGGCTTTGAAGTGCATGTTCTCAAGCTTTCAGATTTTAATGTGGTTCAGAAATGAAACACAAGTGAGAGTGAAAAAAGCAGCTTGCAAGAAATACATGGGATTTTTGTGTTTCTTTGGATGGGAAAGATTATGTTTTTTTATGCAACCTTGTAACCTGCATGAAGTCTAACTGGAAACTGGGATGTGTGGTGTTAAGAGTGTTGTTAATACACTTCTTTAAAATGAGTAACTCTTCAGTTGCATGGATTCCTCCAAGGAAGAATAATGAAGAGAACTTCATGGAAAGGGGTTCTCTGGTAAAATGGGAACTGAGTTTATGGTGCATAAACCAGAAATTTGCCTTTTTGATTTTCATGAGAGTGCCTGTATATTTGCATACGTTCTGGAAATGCATTCACAGGAACTTTTTGCTTTTGGAAATACGTTTATATTATATATATATGTGTGTTTATAAAATTATGTCTAAACTTATTTATATATATATAAATATAGATAAATATATATATTTATATTTATAAAGTTGTATTTGACACAGCAGCACTTAGATCCGCATGTTTTTCCTGTAACTGTGTGTTTAATTCAGTGAACAGGAGGAATATATAAATATTCCTTGCAAACTGGGGATCTGAGTGAAGGTGTTAACTTTGTTTTTAAGCCATTGAATGAATGTTTCCTACCCCTTCAGTTATGGAAGCTTCTCTTGTATTTTGGTTCAGCTTTTAAACACTTATGGTTTTGTCCATTTCTCTATTCTGAAAGTTTTTCTGCAGTGGAAATTTATAAATTACCTGATTACTTTTTAATGCAGTTCTTTTGGTTTTTTTACCCTGTCCATTTTAGATCTAACATACCTGTGTGATTATCAAAGATATGCAGTCAATAAAATAAATATTTGGTTTGTAGACTATCTTGTAAGCAAGCAAATGTTACAAACCAATTTCATTTTGTAATTTCAGGCAGGTTTTTTGCCTGGAAATATAGGACTATGACAGTATAACTCTTTGATGTGCTGATGGGGATCATACAAACAACCATTCCATGTTATTAATGTAACCTCATAGCCAGAGGTGCTTCCCTGTGCTGTAACTCTAATGAAGCTAATGGTTTCCTCCACCCCAGATTAGTGTTGGTTACTGCTTTGTTACTGTAAGTGCTGCTCTAAACCACCTTCTCACAAAAAAGGTGCAAGATGCAAAAAGCAGAAGGGGAACAGTGCTGAGGTCTGAACGTGCAGTCCCATGTCCGTGGGTTTGGACTCTTGGGAAACCTTGAAGTCCAGGCCATTGAATTTGGGATGGGTGTTTCTGAATGTAGGCCCTTAAGGAACTTACACTCTTCTGACTGAGTAACAATCTGAAAAGTATTGCTTTAAGAGACGTTCCCCTGTCTTTGAAGCATGGGCATGGAGAGGCCTGGGATATTTAGCAGCAGGGTGTATTTGGAGGAAGCTCCGTGCCTATAAGGAGTGAGCTGTGCTAAGTGACCTGTAAGGACCTAAAATTCCTGTTAGGTGCATGACCAGAAACAGAAATCCCTCAGCGTCCTGTAAAAACATGAGATTAAATCATTCAGGTATAACCTGCAAAACATATTTGCTTTTTGGGTACTGTGATTCCCTTAAACCACTGAGAGGGAGCTGCCCACACTGCCTGAGGCTGTTGGGCCACAGGGACATTTACCGCAGTCCCCGTCCCTCAGCTTCAAACCAAAGTCATTTCTCTGAAGCACTTTCTGTGCCAGTGTTAGTGGTTGGTGCCACTTCCAGCAGCTGGGTTTCCCCTCTCCAGCTCACCGTGTCTGACTGTTTGCCTTGGCCCTGCAGAAGTGTCTCTGAGGTCCCTGCAGAGCGAGGCAGCCAAGGGCTCCTCAGTGAGCGTTCAGCAGTGCTGGAGAGTCTGTGTGGTTCTGGATGGAGTGTGGGACCACCAGCCAGCATTTACACACTGTACCCAAACCAGTCTGGGCAGAGAGGGCCATGGGCTCTTACAGCCTTACTTCATCTTGAGCTGTGCTTGTTTCCGTACTGACAACTTGGTCTGTCCTGTCTCCTGTCCTCTTTGAGTCAGGGTTTCCTACTGCAGGGCTTTAGATCGTGTCTGAGGTGAGGATTGCAAGTGTAGGTACTTGGAAGGTTGGTTGGTTGGACATGGTCCAATGCCCCAACCTCTGCTGGGTGTCTAGACAAAAGTTATCGAATATGGGGTAATTGGAAATATTAATATAATTCTGTATGAATCCTGTAAGTTTGCACTTCTGTAGCCATGTGAAAAGAAAATTTCTCTCTTTGCGATAGATCATTAGAGCATTCAATTAGCACATCTGTCTGCAACTTGTGAGGTCACTTAGTTCTTAGATAATTAGACTATTGAGACTGGAAAGTTACTACAGGAGGGCAGTATTTGAACAGGTGGTTTTTGTAAACTTGCTTTGCAGCCGATGGATTTATTCAGCTTTTTGAAAGCGTTGGTAAATGCTGAATGTTTGCAGTAACACCATTTCATAGACTCCTGCAGTGAACTTGAATTGGACTCTGGGGGTCTCCTTGGCCAGCCTCCTACCCAAGGCAAGGCTGGCTTCAAACTTGGGTCAGGTTGTGCAGTCCTGGCCTAGCTTGATCAGGCTATGTGGTTTTTGGGGATGGAGATTATGCAGTCCCTCTGGGTAACCTTTTGTACCCATTCCCACTCCACCACACCCTCACATCCAGTAGAAATTTCTCTTGTTGCGACTTGTGGCTGTTACTTCTGGAGTCTTCACTGTATGGCCTGGGGCTCCATCTCTTCTGTAATTCCTCACTGGGTATAATTTAATTATTTGAAAGCTTCAGCTCACTTTCTGTGCTGTGTTGGGAAGTTTTAATTTGGTACTTGTATTGCAGAAGAAGCACATTATAAAGCATCTACTGTGATGAGGTGTAGCTTCATTTAATAACTGCAGGTTGTCCAGGATAATTAATTTGAATACAGTTCTGGAAAGAGCTGCTAGTAATCCGTAATGTTTAGTGATTCACTGATAGCACCAATGCAAATTACGAACTTTTTATATATATTAAACCTGTAGGTGCACATGTATGCACAAACCTGCATAAGTATGCAAGACTGATCTTGTTCTCCTTGTGAAATCCAAATGCAGCAAAATGGAAAGGAATAATTTATGTGTTTAATAAGCAGGCCTGTCACTATCCGTGATAAATAATCCTATGTACAGAAGGAGAGGGAAGTGATAAGTATTCCCCTTCTCAAAGCAGATCCAGCAATGACTACTGCATCTTCTTAAATTGATAGTCAGGCCTTTAATGACTGAGGATTCTGACGCATCTTAAAAAATGAGCGAACGTTGATGGCACTAAAGATAAAGTATTACTTCAATTGTATTGAATAATCTAATTATAGCTGTGCAACCCAGACAATTTGGGATACTCCTTTGGCAGGAGCATTTTTTGAAGTAAATATTGTGTATTGATTTATTTCTTCTTTGTGTATATGATTCTGTGGCTTACACAGTGTAAGCCAGTGGTTGGGGTGGCCTTTTTTAGGGCAATTCCCCAGCACTGTAAGTTGTTAGAATGCACTTTGGGGTTCCCTTACTGTAAGGCTGAATAATTACATTACTGTTGATTCTCTACAGATGTGAGTGTGGTTCTGTGCACTATGTTAACTTGATTAAATCAACATCTAAACTGTTGCAGTTTGCACGTAGTCACGGTTACATTTACAAAGAAAAACCCAAACCTGTAAGTTCAAAATAGGATAGAAAAATGCTTTTTCTTTTCATCTGTTGGATTCCATGGTTTTCCTGAGCCTCTTAATCATGCAAGATTATGTACTGCATTTGAAAGCAAAAGTATTTTCTGAGGTAGCAGATTTCAGTCATACAAAGTAGTCTACTTCAATTAATCTGCTGTAAATATTTCTCAAGAAGAAAAACCTCAGAAAACCCTCTCAAAATTGCTGAAGAGGGAAGGCAAAGAAAGGATGGCAGCATTTTCAGGAAATAATTTCTTTTACCTTTTGCAGCACAGTGTCTTGAGCTCCCCAAAGGCTAGGATAGGGAACACAGGAATTCTCTGTAGTGCGTGGATGCTCCAGGTAGGCTGCTGTCTGGTTCCAGCAGTTACCAGTGTGTCTAATGGAGGTGCATAAAGTTGTACAACACCGTGGAACAATAGGAATTTTCAATTATTTGTATTTCATTTCAGCCTACCTGAAGATAAACATGTGTCCTGGACTATGTGGATATTATTGCTTGTAATTTTGTCAGCTCTGGAATTACATGGTTACCGTTTGTGTTTTTGTGTCCCAGCGGGTCCAGCCTGTTACGAGTGTAACAGAAACGTGTGCCTGTTGTATTACCCTTGCACTACACTCAGACCCACTTTCTTAATGTTCTTTTCTAAATCTGCTTAAGTATCCAAATGATGGCAACTAGCACTGTAGGAGTCATTCTTTTAAAACATATACTTGCTGTCAGAATGGATTCCAGCACAGCTTCGCCTTTAATAGAAAGGACATGATAGTCATATTATTTGTGGGTGCTTGTTCTGATGGTTGGGGACTTTTCCCAGCTTTAAGGGGCACGGATTTCTTGCTCACTGTAGTTGGGGTGTGTGTGCTCCAAGCAGGTGGTTAGGTCCTTGGAGGGAAGCAGTGGGCCTGCTAACTACTTGTTGGTTATTCCAGCAGAGTGGAAGGAGATACAATCTGTTCCTGAAACGACGTCTCAGGGTAAACCAGTGATGAATGGTATTGCAAGTGGCTTGGATGGCTGCAGTAATAACATGCTTCACTGTGTGATGCCTTTTGTTAACTGGGAAAAAGGTTCACAGTTATAAATAAATATCCTGTGCTTTCTCAGGGAACTTTTTCACATGTATCCTTGCATGATGTGAGACGGAGATAACAGAGACATAGCCCTCTGAATTATTCTGTTTTGTTCCTACTCTAATAAAATGAAAACCCAATTCAGCCCCATAAAAATATACTTTTGTTGATGGGTGTGGTTTAAAAACACCAGCCTTCCTCAGCAGAGAGGCCAGATTTCCTCTCTGGAATTCCTCAGCGTTTAGCTTCTGGAGAGCACTTTGCTGTATGTCTTGTACACAATTTGGTAAAGCTGAATATTGATATGATAACAAATAATGTTACCTAATATTGCAAATAATATTACCTAAATGAATTAACTTCCTTAGCAGAGTGGGGTTGTAGTCTTTTATTTGCCTAACATTAATTACTGTGGCCTAATTGATGAAAAAGATAAATGTTGTTACTGTGACACTCTGGCCCGCTGATAAATTAAAATATGACCTTTAACAGATCAATTGGAATACTAATTACCCAGTTGCATTGATACCTTTTATTAGATGTATTTTTTTTTCCCCGTGAAAGTAAATACTCAGTTTTGAAATGTCATTCCTGTGTTGTTTGTGTGCCATTTTTATATGTAGTCATTGCTGGGACATATGTCTCTGTGGTGGTTGATTTAGTGAGTCTTGTTATGTAGAGGAAAATGCATGGAATTTACATTTTGCCACCTGCTTCAAGTATTCACAAGTATTGCTACACTAACATGTATTTATTCTTCCTGCACCAGTTATTTACATGTAGTGCTTGTGGACATATGCAGTTAATTTTGAAATTATTTTAACTGGATATAGCCCTGTTAAATCTTGCCCAAGTATGTCTTCAACTATGAAGAAACTGAAGAGTTGTGACAATGTGGGGAAACTTCTTTGTCTTCTGTTGTATTTTAGAGAAACAGCAATACTTGTTTTTTTATTCATATGCCTTTATCTTCTACAGATTGATAAAAGACATGAAAGCAAAGATTCTATTTTCTTCAGGGATGGTGTCAGGAGAATCGATTTTGTTCTCTCTTATGTGGATGATTTTAGTAAGGAATTGGAAAAAAAATTGGTAAGTTTGTCTTTTTGAAATTCTCTTAATTTTTATCTCCAATAACCTGAATATCAGTTACTAATTCTTTCAGATCACTACATTCAACTGGAATAGGGCTTAGCTAAAAATTTTATAGCTATGTGAAAATCCATTCCATGTAGAGAAATTTCTGTGTAATTTACTGTTGTGTGCCAGGACCCAATTTTATTAGATTTTTGGGACTGTGTTTATTGAATTGATCACTCTCCATTGTTTAGGCTGGGCAATATATAATATAGTTGAGCAAAGTAACCCAAATTATTTTGCTTCTTCATTGACAGTCTAGCTGAGACTTTGGAGAAATATCTGTAAATAGTTTTGTCTTCAAATACTTTTAAATGCAGGTTTCTTCTATATAAGCAAAGCATCATTCAAACAAGATTTAACAATAACTATTTTTTTCCATTCACTGACTGCAGTTAGAGCAGAAATAGATTCTTAGATCCAAGAATCAATGCAATTTTCCTTTAATACCTTTGAGACTCTTTTTGTAATATATACTCTGAGTAGCACAAACACAGCATGTCCTCTTTGAGCTTTTCCCTATGTTTGACTTACTCTCTACATATGTGTATTCATTGTTCTAGAAGAATATTTAAAGTGGCTTTGATAAGAGCTCTCTTATGTAACAGAGCACAAAGTACAAGCTTTTTCTAAAATGCCAGTGACTATCCCTGAACTTCCCAGCTTTCAGTTGCCTGAATGACATCTATTTGTTCCATGCTCACACTGACACTTGTGGCCTAACTTGGCTAAACATGTAAATTCAAGCTATATAAAAAAAAAACTATACTATGAGATGCAGTCAAGACAAACAACAAACTTCACATAAAGCACAATATTTAAAAAAAAAAAAAAAGAGAGGGATTCTAAGGGGTTTTTTTCCTCTGTATTTCCTGCCTTCTTTCCGAGTCAGGAGAGGTTACATTTACCAACTGGTCTCTCTGATATGTAACTCCAAAGTTTATTCATGATTTAAAAAAATTGAAAAGAGAGAGACACCAAAAAACTTCATTCTTATGCAATCATATTATTCTGAAAGATAAGGGTATCTGAAAAAAACTAATTATACCAATGCTTATGACAAAATCATGATCAAAACTAAAGGTCTGTGAAGTAAAGGACAGTTTTCATCTATATCTTTTCATATTTCTTTCATAATTAAAAATCCTGATTTCCTTTGAACAAAAACTGCAAGATTGAGCTGTTAAAAAAATGGCCTATTGCTTTCATTCCTTTATGAAGGAAATACTGTTTTCATTAAGGATTTATGCTGCCTGAACTTGCATCCAGATATGATCCAGTGTAGAGCACAGCCCCTCATCTTACTCGTTACCTTAAAAAGTCCGGGAATTTCTATCATCGTCTCTGTTTGACGCTTTTCCCAGGTGAAGCACCCTCAGTCAGCTCTGCTCAGCTAGCCACAATTTCAGAGATTTTCTTGGGAGACCAGGGTTATTTTATAGCTGTGGTACCATAGGTTTATATACAGACATAAAAAACTGTTTCAAACTCAAACCCTCTGTCAGGCTGTAATCCTAGTTGCATTCCTTCTTCTCCTATAAAGCAAAATGCATTTAAAAAAGGAGGAAGAGGAGGCCAATCAGTGTAGAGAGAAAAAAGAATTTGTCAAAGCAGCTCTTAAAATATACTTTTCCATTAGTCATACTCAAATTATTTAAGATGAGGAAAGAAATTGAGACTATTTAGGTAATGTTTCAAGTGGGAAGGAAAATAAGCCAGATGTTCAGTCCCTTGTTCATATTGTGTGCAGCAGTTTCCTCCTCATTGCTTTATGGATCATTAGGGGGTAGCAGGAATCTTTGCCAGACCAGAGGCCATGAACATGAGTGTCATTATTGACTGAAGGATCCATGTGAGGAGGAGCCCAAGAGTTTGTAGCTAATGCTGTGTTTCCTCTCTGAGGTAAAAATGCACTTGCTAGGAAGAAACATCTCTGTCTTGCAAAAGGCCAAAACATCCCTGTTAAGTTTTGTGAGGTTTAATTCTTGTGTATGTCTGTTAATTGGAAAAGAGTTTGTGGCCCCATGGAGGAAGAGGTTTGGTCAGTGGCCCTGTAGATTAGCTCTGCAGTCACTGGACAAGCAGGCATGGAGATATCAATGTTTTTACACAGTTCCTGGCGAATCTGCATTTGCCCTATATTTGTGTTCAGCATAGACCTTTATGCAATTAGTATGCCTGTAAATTGGTGCAGACTTCTTAGCATACAATTACTGTTGTCTCTGTGGGAGCAAGATTGGTGCACTGCAGCATCTGGAATTCATCTGACATATACTGTACTTGATATTGTACAGTCATCACAGAAATGTGAATTTCTTTTGCTGTGGCACAGTGATACGGCGAAATGGAACAGCTAAGAATAGGAATGTTCATACAAAGAGAATAACAGTTGTGACAAAGGGTTTTGTTTCCTTGTCTCAAGGAAACAGCTTTATTCTGCATTTCTAAGAATGGGATGAATAACTTCTTTGTGTATTTCAACATAGCCCTAATACAGATGTAAGAGATGGTCTGTTCATCTTCTCCCTTAGTTTCCTGCATTAACTTCTTTGATGTTCCTAGACACATTCCATCTTCAACACTCTTTTGAACTTGCCTTCTAAATCCAAACCACAAACTCCTCTAAACAAAAATTAGGATTATATTTTTGTGAGACAATACTTTTATATTTTTCCTTAAAATCTCCAGCACGTAAGTGGAAATATTTTACTCACATATGAGATGTATGTGACCATCAAAAAAATAAATAGAATTTATAAAATATCTAACAAATTATTAATAACCAGGACATGATCTTTATTGTGCCTAAGTATATTTCTTCACAAGAACTCCAGAGCATTAGGACTCAGGGATTTCTGTGCAAAGTAACTTGCTCCTGTGTTGACTGGAAGCAAAGTGCCCCTGTCCCCAGTGGTGCACGGAGATACAGAAAGACATTTTATCGAACCCTTTTCCGGTTTTCATCATCTCAAACAGAAACTTTTGCTTTCTTGGAGGCACCACATAGCCCAGAGTTAGGGAGCCAGGGCCAGCAAGTATCAGATGCTTGTTGCTGGTGCTGTCAGCCCTGTTAGGCTGCTGGCTGGGAGAAGCTGCATGTCCAGCTCTGCAGGCACAGCTGAAAGCTGGGCTCCATCCAAGCTAGGCACTTCTCCCTGCTGCTTTACAGCAGCTTGGCTGGTACTTGCAGAAGGAATCATAGAATATCCTGAGGATCATCAAGTCCAATGAGTCAGCAGTGCCCTGGCAGCCAGGAGGATCAGCTGTGTCCTGGGGTTTGTCAGACAAAGCATTGCCAGCCAGGCGAGGGAGGGGATTGTCCCGCTCTGCTCTGCACTGGGGTGGCCTCACCTGGAATATTGTGTGCAGTTTTGGGCACCACAATATAAAAAAGACATGAAGCTATTAGAGAGTGTCCAAAGGAGGCCACAAGGGTGAAGGGCCTGGAGGGGAAGACGTATCAGGAGGGGCTGAGGGACTTGTTCCGTTCAGCCTGGAGAAGAGGAGACTGAGGGGAGACCTCTTTGCAGTCTACAGCTTGCTCATGAGGGGAAGAGGAGGGGCAGATACTGATCTGATCTCTTCACTCTTGTGACCTGTGATAGGGCTTGAGGAAATGGCATGAAGCTGAGTTGAAATGGCATGAAGCTGAGTCGGGGGAGGTTTAGGTTGGGTATTAGGAACTAAAGGTTTTTCACCCCGAGGGTGATCGGGCACTGGAGTTCAGGAGTTCATAGAACCGCAGAATCATTAAATATGCTGAGTTGGAAAGGACCTATCAGGATCAAAGTCCAACTTCTGGCCCTGCACGGGACAGCCCAATAATCCCACCATGTGTCTGAGAGCATTGTCCAAATACTGCTTGAACTTTTACTTCCTAATACCCAACCTAAACCTCCCCTGAAACAGCTTCATGCCATTCCCTCGAGTCCTGTCACTGGTCAACAGAGAGGGTTTGCCCTCACTTTGGTGGGCACACGGAGCACCCTCCCAGCCATGTGGGCAGTCCCTGCAGGCTGCAGGAGGGCCAGTTATCTGTGCTGTTGGCCTCCTACTCTCATGGCTCTGGGTGGATGAGATGACAAGAGGCCTTTCCTAAACAGGCTCCATCTCATCTGAAACTTTCTTCCAAGGGAGCTGTGTGGGCAACCTGACCAAGATCAGACTGATCCCATACTGTGTTCTCTAGGATACAGCTAAGAGCAGGGTTCTTGTACACCTTACTAGTAGCATGTAAATGTTTCCCAAGGCCATATTTACTTCCCAGTATCCTACTGACTGCAGTTAGAATAAGCCCAAGAATCCTGATACATAAAAGGCTTTGGTGAGCTTGGTGCTTCCTGCCTAAAGGAAGAGGAAAAGCAAGGAAGAGGAGTTTGATTAAGGAGTATTATGTTGTAAATTTAAAATTACTTTAATCTCCTGATCCTTGACTGTTGTGACAGGCCGTACCACCACAGACAGGTTTATGGTAGTTGTCTCTCTTCCACTGATCATGCAGTGTGACATCTGCATTGGGCTTTTTAGTACTGCTGAACTTTGGATCTTGCTTTGTTAATCTTATCAGGATGGTTCCTTACAGCCTAGCATGTGTTAGATGATAAAGTTACTCTGTGCTTATCCCCCACCATGTGAGATATCCACAGCAGTGTTTGGAGAGGTCAATGCTCTACTGACCTCTCTCCTACCTAGGCCACGGTGGTCTCAGAAAATGTGGTTTCAGTGCTTTACAGATGCTTAGGAGAGGCTTAAGAACTATACTTAAGATGTGAGGAGGGGCATTAGCCTACTCTGGCTGGTCTTCACTAATGGGATGACTTACAGAGCTTCCCTCTGTGACTGCAGAGTGGCATCTCTAGCGGAGTCAGAAATACATGCACCAGGTACAGCTTTTGAGGTTTGAGGCAGGAAGCTTAAAATTCTAAGTACACATTAAAACCAACCAGCACTGGTCCAAGGGTATGTTGATTTTGGGTTTTTTGTTTTTGCAATAGCAGCAGACTGATTTCCTTTTAAAAATGGTTGTTTCCAGTGACTGGAAAGTTCAGTACCTGGCATGGGTTTCAGAGAAGGGGGCTTATGGGAGGAGAGCAAAGTGCTAAAAAGAGCATAATTTCTATTAGACCACTGTAGTTTGTCACACTAAGTGTATAGTAAGGAAAAATAAGGAAGATAAGTGATGGGCCAGACCCTTTGGCACTGTCTGTTCCTGAGCTGCACAGCTGGAGAGGAGCTGGCTGGTGTCTGGTGGCAGAGGAGCCTCTGAACTGACTCACTTGGCTCTCCTCCAGTGTTTGCTGGGGAAAGAACACACACCACTGTGCTTTGTTTGGAGAAAATGTAATCCAGACTAGCACATAGCTTTGGATACTAGGCTTAGATGTCAGATTTTCTATAACACTTCAACATACACTCCTAAATCACCTTTTAGTTGTATTGTTCTCTATTTGATTATCAGGTCAGCAGACCAAGCTCTCTGATGTTTATACAGGTGCATGCAAGAAGTTTAGTGGGATCGATTATTCAAAAATAGTGCATGGAATTGCATTTGCCCCCAGCATGTGCTGGAATTGAGGACTTAGCATATTTGCAACTCCTATAGTCAAGTGTCTAGTTTAATATCTAATAATATTTCTCAAAATCAGATGGGACAAGTAAAAATGAAAGGCTGCTAACACAAGAAAATACATCAATACGTCTTAAGGTACATTTGAGGGCTGTGAAAGCTATTCTTCAGTCTGTATTCATTTGTCTGAGTAGTTTATGCAAACTGAAATGCAAAAAGGGCAGACTGCTGCTCACAGACATGCAAGGAAAGGAAATTGGCTGACAACTATGGTGTTTTGCATTTTTAAGTGTGTTTGAAAAATGTCATTTAAGACCTTTCAATAGAAAAAACATCAGGCAGCATTGCGGGTTTTAGCCAAAAATAAATTTGTGGTCTATCTTGTGCATTTTAAAGAGGCTGGGTCTCGATATTTGCCTTACTTTATGGTTATTCTGACAGTTCTTCTGCCAATTTTATATAATTGAAAGGAAATGAATGCAATCTCCCAGTAGGAGCAAAAATTACACAGAGAAGGAGGGGAAGAAAATGTTCTTCCCTAAAGGCACCACCTAGGAATTGCTTGGCAAAATAAAGAGTTCCAGAAGAATCTCAAGCTCAGAGAGGTCACGCAGCCACCGCTCACTGCCACAGGCAGGTTTGTTTAACTCTGCTGAAGTCCACGCTGACTTTATGCAAGCTAAGCACATGGAAGATCACACGTGGTGATTTGTTGGTCTTATCTAGTTTTACAGTGATGTTTGTGAAGTACTGTTTGAATTGTCTGTAATCAGTACTTGAACATCTCTATCAGGCATAATTGTAAAACAGGTAAATAGATGGGACTGTGAGCAATCGGTCTTCCACGTGCTTCCAGGATTTTTCCTTCCATCTAGTTTTGATTGACATTCTCTTAGCAATGTAGCTGAACTTGAACAGTTCCACACCCCACATACCAGCCTCCTGAAGAGTCAGAAGTGCTCAGAACACAAGACATCAATTCCTTCTCTGATTAACCAGAACATGCCTTTTCCTACCCGGTAGGTTTCCTGTTGCAATTCCCGATGTGTTGCCACCACAACACCGACCTGCACTCGGAAGTGGCCTGGTATGCATCAGCTGGTTTTTGTCTGATTGCTTTGAGAAGGTCACATAGCATTAAGGGGTTGTCATCAGGGCAGCTGAGAGAAGTTGAAACTCAGTGAGTCATCAGTAAGGGATCAGTTAGTTGCTAACTTTGTCACTTACTAAAGTATGTTTGTTTCTCTCTAGGAAAGACGAAAAGAATTTGAGAGCAATCTGCAAAAGGCAGGTTTGGAACTAGAAACAGAAGACAAGAAGGTAAAAAAAAAAAAAAAAGGAAAAATTAGGACGAGAGAAGTAGACTTGCAAATTAATAAACCACTTTGTTTCTTTGGGAAAAATTATCAATTATGCTTGTGGATTTCAGTGGAGTGTGATTTACTTAGGTGAAACAAGATTAATATGTTTGAGTCCTTTTTCTAGATACATTCATAAGAATTGCGGAAGCAGAATAATTGTGATTCAAGAGGAAGTGATGGCTTTTGATTTCATAACAAAATGAAAGTCGTTCCAAAATAGCTGTGATTTGATTTAAATCCACTTAAATGGGAAGTATGCTCACAGCTACATTTAATCCTGCCTAACAATGAGTAATAAGTTTGGAAGGTTGGTGAATGGATTAGTTATGCCCAATGGATGTCGTAATTATGAGGAAAGGGTGAAACAACTTGAGGATGTTTGATTAGTGTTACTGTTTGGTTTAACAACTGGAGAACATGGGATTTTGACTGATGCAGGCAGTGTGCCAGAGGCTGGGTGGGGTAAAGCAACTCTTGGTGAAGTTCAGACTTTGTAACATCCATGGATAGGGGATTCATTGAGCGATATGTCAAAAGTACCTTCTGATTGCCATTTTCTGCTGTGTATGCAGAGGAATACTGAAAGTACACTGTTGGGTGAGGTTTATGGTAAGAATATTCCTTGTGTTTCCAGTGCATTCAGTGTAATGACAATTTTCAGGCCTCAGTGTATGAGATTAATATAGTTTGAAAAGCCTTTGTGAGCTTTTAGTAGTGCAAAGATTGTTTTTATGAATGGATAACGACTCAGATAAGCTTTTCAATTAAATATATATATGTACAAAAAGTTCCCCTATTCCCTCCTCCTTTCTTTTTTTTTTAAACCTTTCAGAAATATGTAAAAGTGAATAAATTGTGTATAAAATCTATTCCCGTAAATCTTGCAATAAAACACAGTTTGGTCTGACATCTGATTTAACTGGTTTAACTTCCCCGGGGCAGGAATCCGAAGATGGCAAGATCTTTTTTGTGAAGATCCACGCGCCGTGGGAGGTTCTGATCACGTACGCGGAGGTGCTGAACATCAAAGTTCCCATCAGGGAAAATGACATTCCCTCCACGGTGGAGAACCCCCTGGATTGCATGCTTTTCCCACTCAGGCTGCCCGAGAAGGTGATGCACCCTGAGCCGGATTATTTCACGGCCCCGTTCAGCAAGGACAAGCAGGAGCTGTACCTCATCAACGACGAGAGCACTTTCTTCTCCCCGTCCATGAGGAACAGAATAGTACGTACATCAGTTTGGCTGCTCGCGTTCACGTGCAGTTTTACACAACCCCATCAGAATGTTCCTGCAAGGAGGGAGGGAGCATAGAAGCTCTGGTGTCCGTGGTAGATACAGGGAAGCCTGGGTGCCTGTGTGTCTTTCTTCGAAATCTGGTGTGATACTTGTTGGATCTTCTGAGTGTCTGTAAGACAGTTGTGCCCTCAGTATTTTTACATGGGGTAAGGCCTTCTGAAGAAATACCTCCTGCTTTTGCATATTGTTCCAGCAGATTACACACAGTGCACGACCATTGTAGGGTTCTGTTAAATGGCCTTAAAATAGGAAAGTTCTGAAATTCCTGTGTTTGAATCCCAGGTTAATTATATTCTTACACGTTGCCCTTATGGAACAGAAGAAGGGAAGAAGAAATTTGGGATTAAGAGACTACTAAACAATGGCACCTATACAGCTGCATATCCTCTTCATGATGTAAGTATTTTAGCTTTCTACTTCCCTGAGCATTTCCCAGTGTTTTCAATCTTTTACCTGCTGTGAATTTGCTGTTTCCAGCAGATACAAAAATGTACTCAAACCCTTCCATTTGTCCCATTGATTCTGTTTAATAATACACGAAACATATTTACCAGCCCTGCTATTTGTCTTTTATGTGCTGAAATGTTTCTTCCTGTGGAGGAGTTTTTAGGATATACCCATGTGTCAGTCACATCATTTCTTTAGAGACTTATATCTCTGAATTCTACCATAAGGCATTTTTAGATACTTTATATAGATTTATATTTTTAAATGTTTGCAAATATTTTTTCTTTCCTTAGAAAATAAAAATAAATGAGTGAATGGACATTCCTTAGGTTATCAGTGGGAAATTTTAGTTGATCAGGATCTATGCTGTAGAAGACTAGTCTAGGCTGGGAAGTAATTTATCCTGTTGGGACTACCAAAACCACAGATAATAAAAAGCAAGAATCTCTCCTATACAACTACAACCAAGCTTAAATGCTAAAAAATCATGTGAAAAAATTCCAAAACTTGTGAGACAGACTCACGAATCTTCGTCTGAAAATACTTATTTAACCTCATAAAACATTTTCAAAATGCAGACTTTAGGTTGTTTAAACTTCCTGATTTCTAGTTAGAAATTAATTTTCCTGTTTTTCTTTTTCTTTGATTTGGTCACAGTGCCAGTACTGGAAAAAGGCAAACGATCCCAACTGTGACAACGAGAGGTACACGCTCTACATGGAGTGGGCCCGTTTCCTGCGCTTCTACAAAGAGCAGCCTTTGGACCTTATCAGGTAAAATGCAGCCTTGGTTTGTTGTGTTTCCCTGGGTTTTCACTGTAATACAGCTGATATTCATTTGTAGCTTACAGATAATTCAGATTTAGAGAAACACATGCAGAGAATATCTTGGATTTTATAATCGATACCTACAGGAATTTTTAAAGAGCAATTTGAAACACTGAAATTTCAACACAGACTTGAAAAAACACTGATAAAAGCAGTTTGGAAGCTTGACTCTTAGTTTGTAAGCCTAAATTTAAACTCATCTCACCCAAGATCTCTTTTTCAGCCCATCCTAGACAACAAAATATTACTTAGTTCACAGGTTACAGTTCTCCATTTGTAACGCAGGTGGTTGTATTTCTGTGGATTATCCATTTCTCCTAAGCATATGATCTGGATTGGTGTACTCAGTTTCATTTGTGTAACTCCTAGGAAAAATCAGAAAATAAATCTTCATTTGCATTATCCTGTGGGAAAGAGAAAGAGTGATTTTAAAGCTGGAGCTTCTGCTAGGAGGAAAAAAGGGACGTTCAGTCATCTGGTTCATTCAGCTTGAGTAACTTCCCATGGCCAGCTTCAAATCATTTTTCCACTGTACAGCAATGCATTTACTCTTATGTTAAAAGAGAATTTTGCCAAGTGTTTCATTTTTACTCTGGCCAGATTGCTCTATTACAGTTTTAAATTTTGCTTTTTATTCCTGTTAATTGCATTTTTTTTTTTTTTTTTTTTTTTGGTATTCAGGAAGTACTATGGTGAGAAGATTGGAATCTATTTTGCCTGGCTGGGATTTTACACTGAGATGTTATTCCTTGCAGCAGTTGTTGGCTTAATCTGTTTTCTTTATGGCTTGTTTACAATGGATGAAAATATGAGCAGGTGAGTGCAACGTTGAAACTCTCCTGGGCAGAGTTAAGCAACGTGAAAATTTAGTTCTTGCAAAAAACTCCCAAGAGATAACAAGCTTTAAGGCTTGTCAGACTAGAAAAATTTGTTCTTCATCTGTCTTTATTGATTGAAAAGGTGATGGGCCACTGATGCAGAACTTTTGACTGTTAATTTGTAAGAATCAATTTGTAGGTGAAAAGCAATATTTTATTGCCATTTGGCAGTAGCTTTTCATATTGGAGAACCTGCAATACCTGAAGTCCTATGTACCACTTACATCTCTCAAAATTAAGTGTTTATTGTTGCCTTAAGCTTGTCTATTTAATCTATCTTGCAGAGCAGTCTGACCTTTTTGTGTAAGTCATCATTTGTACTCATACCAAAAGCATGAGTAAAACAGATCAGCAGTGTTCTCCCATCAAAGAGGGATCCAGTGTCTCAGAGCCATAGGTTGCTTTTTTTTAAAATAAACATTGTATTTGTTTCATTAGAGGACCCAAGACATTGTGTTCAGGGACTGGAGGTGGGGAGAGGAAAAGAGGGTTGACATTTCATTGCCTACTGTTTTTTATAAGGAGGCTTCCAGAAAACTGTGAGTTTTAACCATAAAAGATGAATAAGAGGTTTAAATTCTCATCTATTCTATCGAATTATGTCATTTTGAGACTTGTATTTTAGCTAGGTTAAGAATTCACCTGGGAATACTGCTATACGTGTTCAGATTTCTCTGGATACTGAAGGACTATCACAGGATTGTAAACTTCACCCACTGTCATAGTTAAATTGAAGTAGCAAATTTTTCTGCAGATAGCAAAGCTGAAGTTACCTCTCAGCTTTTAGAAAAGGTGTTTGGATCTCACTGCTGACCTGCTGACAAATAACAGGGTTTATATCTCGCCCAAAAGCAGTGCCTGTGCCGTATAGCTCCTGACACTCCTGATTCTTTGCTGATAGAACCAGAAAGCCCATACTGAGGGAACTGTTAATTTTACTTCTTGTAGCAGCTGCTTCATTTCTTGGCTTGCCCTGACCAGCCACAGGTTAACACCAGTGAATGTAACAAGATGTGGCATCTTTGCCGTAAAGCTGCAAATTCTGAGCTTTGAAAAAGTGGAGTTCTTATTTTATTTAATTTTCAAATGAATTTCGTGTAACAGCTCTTAAGATGCTACAGAAACAGATACTTTATAATGTTTTCCTCCTCAGCAAAGAAATCTGTGACCCTGCAATTGGAGGAGAGATCATCATGTGCCCACTTTGTGACCAGGAGTGCGACTACTGGAGACTGAACACCACCTGTGAGTCCTCACAGGTCTGTGTCTGGTTCTGCAGCCAGTTGTTATTTTTATTCATCCTGAAAACTGTTTTGGTACTGACCTGTTCCTGGGTATTCTGTTGCAGTATTCCCATTTGTTTGACAACGTGGCAACTCTTTTTTTTGCCATTTTCATGGGCATATGGGGTGAGTACGTTTCGTAAGTTTTATGTCAAGCATTAAGATCATGGCCAAGCTGCTGAGGGACACTGGAAGTGGGAGGAAGGGGAATAATGGCTACACTTTAGTATCCTGCCTCAGATACAAAAGTGATGAGAGACTAAAAATAAGTTTAAGTTAGAGGGGAATTAAGAGAAACACAGAGGGATTGAAAAACCTGAATAAAATCCAGCAGATATCTAGGATATCATAAGGATATTACAAATATTGTGTACTCTTAACTGCTAACATTTGTTTTTTTCCTTTGTAACCAGAGAGGTCCAACATTATGCAGCCCATGAAAGAGTCCTCTCTGCTAAGCCCTACCAATTATCACTGTCATTGTGGGAGAGCTTTTGTGTCTTTTCTTTTAAGATCATATTGTGTTAAATATATATTCTTTTTTTAAATTCTGTGAAGGTTTATAAATACAGGATAGCATAGTTATTTTTGTCATTTCCTTAAATATATCTCTTGTTTCATACTGTTTGTGTGAATTAAATTAAATGTTCAGTTTGAATATAGGTATTTCATTAGCTCACAAAGATCTCTGTGCTAGCAGAAAATCTGTTTATTTGTTATCAAAGGATCTCACCACTAACTTTTTTCATATAGAATTATTAAAAAAAGTCTAATAAGATGATGTTGTAGGGCTGCTGTACTAAACTTTTCTTGTTTTTTAAGCACTAGCATTTGTGTGACATGGATTAGTCATTCAGGAAGTACCGGCCAAAGGGTTTAGAACTGCAGAAGATAAGCTTTCCTGTGTTTGTATTAACCATGAAGCCTCCCAGTTCAACTAAGAACAATCAGATTACTAAATGTTTACATTTTAAAGTAGTTTATAGAGGGTTCCTAAAGAGTTATATAGTATAATAAACTTTATTGTTGTTTATATATGGAATCAGTTCCCTCTAGTGTCTTAAAAAATTCTTAAACCAGCCTAACTCTTGATCATATGAAAAACACCAGACATTCACTGTCTTTAAAATGACCATGATATCAAATAAGCATCAAAATACAACAGAAATCTTTGAACTTGAATAGGCATGCTGCTTATTTGTAGTTGTTGTTCATGTGTTGCAGGTTTATACACAAGCAATTATTTGTATCATCAGGTTCTTTTGTTAGTTCCATGTCGTTTCTTGCATATGAAAAGTAGTTAAACTGTAATTGAACATGGCTCTCATAACCATGGAGGTACCTGTATGTCTTGGCATCTTCCTTGTCATCCACTTCTGCAATTCAATTAGCTAATAAATCACTGGATTCGTATTATGATCTTAGCTGGGAACTCTCATAGGCAGTCAGTAAAAATACATGGGTTGCACTGAGGATAAATGATAAACCACAGAACAGAAGCCAGTGCAGAAGTAAGTTGAACTTGGTTCATGAACTTATTAATTTCTTCCTTAACCATATTTTAACATTTGCAAATCGTAGTTACGCTTTTCTTGGAGTTTTGGAAGAGACGGCAAGCTAGACTGAAATATGAGTGGGATTTGGTTGATTTTGAAGAGGAACAGCAGCAACTCCAGCTGAGGCCTGAGTACGAGGCAAAGTGTACCCAGAAGAAGAGGAATCCTGTAACTCAGGTAAGGAGTGTGGACACACATGCAAGTTCAGCTGCACGCTGAGAGTTTCATAACGTGCAAATTGATGTGTTAACTCAGGAAAACAAAGGCAAAGTTTATGGCTTTGACACCATCTTTGCAGCATCCTTCATGTTTCAGGGCAGCAGTCTCTGAAATCTTCTTGCCTTTAAAAGCACTCTTTCTCATCCCTGCACAACATAAGAAGAAGCAGTTGCCTTGATCTAAAGACAGATAAGTGGGTTAGCTGTGGTTTTGGTTCTGATATATAACAGCTTTGTTTGGGGAACACTGGAGAGATGAAGATTGCTGAACTCCTGTCTCTGAAATCTAATTGAGATATGATTAATGACACTATTTAACACACTACTATTAAACTTATATATAAATACTTCACAGTCTTAAGGTGTGCCAGGGGAGGTTTAGGTTGGACATTAGGAAGAAATTCTTTACAGAGCGAGTGATCAGACATTGGAATGTGCTGCCCAGGGAGGTGTTGGAGTCACTGTCCCTGGAGGTATTTAAGAAGAGACTGGATGTGGCACCGAGTGCCATGATCTTGTAGACAAAGTGGTGTTGGGTCATAGGTTGAATGACCTCAGAGGGCTTTTCCAACCTAGTTGATTCTGTGATTCTGTAATTGTTTTCATTTATATTTAATTTAGGTAGGAGTATTTGACAAATGTAGGGATCAGCTGGTTGCATTTCAATATGACACCTACCACCTCAATTCGATGTATTTTAAAATCATCTTTTGTAGAATTGCATGTAAATTGCTTATTGGCAGTAGTCCTAAGTATACTTAAATAACAAAGTCTTCAGAAAAGAAATCAAAGCTTCACCAGAACACGGGAAGAATCATTGTCATATAAACAATAGCCCTGTCTTTCAGGGTTTCTCTCCTTAATTATTAGGAAATACATACACTAATCTTATTTCTTGTGAGAGAGAGTTTTTCCCCTTCCACATGTGCAGCGTTAATTCTGCTGTTGTACTTGTAACTAGCACAGTGCACACATTGCACAGAGCTCTTTGATAACTGTGCACCATGATTTTAAGCGTAACTCTGCTGAGGGTGTTCATTTCTGCATGCTCGGGAAAACAGCTACAGGTACATCAATTCTTTATTAGTTCTACTAATTGAAAACACGTGCCTGCCTGTTGTGTGTTAGTTGCTGGTTTTCTAGATTCATCCAGATCCCAAAGTTGGGGGTGGGTGGGGTTAACTTTATTTAGGAAATAGAAATGGACTGTAGTATATTTTTCTGATCTCAGAGTGAGATACTGCTCTGCGCTTTCTAAGTATGCATTAACAATTACCATAAAAATTCAATGGCTATACAAGTCTTATTCTATGACACATCAATTTATTGTCTTGTTGGTTTTTCAGAAGCTTTTTTGCAGCAGGGTTTAGCAGTGATCCTTATCAGTACCCAGTAACAGGGTAGCTTGCACAAGGTTGCCACTCTGTGGTGTAATTTCCTTTCATTAGAACATGTGCAATACTGAGCACATGGAATGGCAGTGCTTTCAAGCTGATTCTGCAGACTGATATGGTTTTGTGGATATGGGGCAATGACTTTATTGTGTCCCACAGCTGGCTTTGCTTCACTCAGAAAATTACTTCCTCATTAGTCCTGTCCGTGATTCAAAGTTCTAGGTGCACCGAAACCAAAATTGCCCATCTGGAGGCTTTGATTAACAGCTCATTTGTTTATGATGCTAAACTATCTAACTAGATCACAGCTAAGATCTGTTTTTGCTGATTGCAAGAGAATTCTAATTGACATAAATAATGAAGCATTCGATTCAAACTTAGGCTCTGTCGTTGCACTTTACTGCCTACATTACATTTCTATAGTATAAAACTTGTTGAATAGCCTAGAGTATGTGAAATATTTGCTCTTAGTATAGAATATATGTATCTTTTATTAACACAAAATAGATATAAAATGTTATGAGCCTGTGTAAAGTCACCCAATATGGATGCTTGTGTCTTATCTTCAACTGTTTCCTAAAGTTCTGTTAATGGAGCCTTTAACTATTACCATGATGCTTGTCTGTAACACTCGATGCCACTTTGCTTAAGAGGAGTGTGAGCTTTCCACAGTGCCTTGTCCCAAAGATTTATCAAATTCAGATTATTTTTTTACTAAAATCTTCTTCCACTGGCATTAGTTCTTAAATGATCCTTTCATAACACATGTAGTTTGATATTTTAGGAATTAGAATAGCAAAAACTTTACACATGTGTTATATGGGGATACTGGCATGGGTAAGACCCAGTTGCCTGGTGCTGTAGCAGAGCTTGGCAGCTGCGTTCATAGGCAATTCTTCAACCAAAAAAACAATAAAATTGAAAGAGTGGAGGGAACCACTCTCTGACTGGCACATACAAATGACAATTTTAAGAATCCTCAGCATGAAGACTTTAGAAACCTTGAGCCGAGTTTTGGACCCAAAGCTGTATGACTGACCTAGCCTTACAGTGATAGTTCATGAAGTTGGTCTTTTTCCTTCAGCTGCTGATTGATTTTGCAAAGGTTTAACCATTCTTTCCAGGTACTGTCTTTACTTTTAGCAGTTTTATGGCCACTTCTGTCCTAATCTTTTTGCCCCCTACTCCAGCACATTAAAATCATGTCCTGTCTGCCATTTTTGAGAGTGAGGGGGGTTCTGAGTGGTTTTCCTTGGATGTGGGCACTTTCACACAGCTGATCAGAGCTCTTGATCAGCTCTTGATCAGCTCTTGGTGTACTGCTTGATGTTGGAATAAGATGTTGGAATAAGATGAACTGTTTTCTACTTGACTGTTTCAGGAGATGGAGCCTTATTTGCCTTTAACTAGCCAGGCTGTGCGGTTCTGCATCTCAGGAACTACAGTGTTGTTCTGGGTGAGCATCTTTTTGAATCGTTGCTTTAACATATGTCAGAGTTGCTGGCAGTTTAATCTAACTTGTCCCTTCCACCTCCATTTCTACGAGTCCGTGTTCTTCTGCATTTTTTTTTTCAAATATCAGTATTAGTTTGTCTGCTTTTCCTGTGCTGACAAAACAATTTCGTTGGGTTTAATGTACCTACAAAATAATTTCGCCGGGTTTAGCGTGCCTAACACAACAAAGGATTTTGCTTGTGCACTTTGCATTTCGTCGCCACTGAACTCACACCCACAAAGGATACAATTTGAAAAATGTAAAGCGGGATGGTGTGCATCTTATTCCCAGAGTTCTGTGCCTACAGCTGTGGTAAGCTGCAGGTGTATCTGAGCTCTCTGTCCCTCTCCCAGGTGTCTCTGATCATAGCCAGCATGATCGCCGTGATCGTGTATCGCCTGGCGGTGTACGCGGCCTTCGCCAGCCTCATGGAGAACACCCAGACCTTGCAGCCCATCAGCGGGTTGCTGACCCCTCAGCTGGCGACCTCAGTCACAGCCTCGTGCCTCAATTTTGTCATCATCATGATCCTGAACTTCTTCTATGAGAGAATAGCCATCTGGATTACTGACATGGGTAAGCAGAGGTACTTGAAGACAAAACTCTGAGGGAATCATTGAAGGTAGAACCCGTCGTTGTTCTTAACTCAGGCACAGTGGGAGCATTGTAGCTAGAAGCATCTTGCAGCGATGACTTGGGTGTATCCACAGCCACACAGAACATTTTCCCTCCATCTCAGTAGTTCTCATAACCTGGTTTCTCTTTGTATAATGTTTGCTTATATTAAAACTAGTCCACAGAGACAATCACAAATCTGAACATAATTATCTTGTATTATATTAGAGTCACCAAAGCAATCTCAGACTGTCTTGATCTACCAGTATTTCAGTTAGAAATCCTGTAGATATATTTCTAAAAACAGATCACAGCCATCTTTCCAAGGAAAAAAGACTAAATAATCATGACTCTTAGTTTGGGGGGAAAGAAAGGAGGGTGGGGGATAGGATAGGACAGTACATTTGTCATTTTGTCCTGAGTGCTGTTTCCCTTAGCTCTGTCTGTTCAGAATTGGAGTTACACAGTGGAAGGCAGAGGTTGAGCAGGATGAGGAGCTGTGCCTAAGATTGTGACTGTAGCCATTGGTAGCGTGTCCTGCAGAGCTGGAGGAGCCTGCAGGCAGGCAGGCCCAGAAGGATCAACTACTTCTGTAGGAGATTTTATATTTGACTTTTGCTTGCATGCTGGAAATACCCTTCCCTAGAAGCCCTCGTTACATATTTTATTTTATTTGATTTTTCCTTAATGATTTAGATGTACAAGTCCCTGCAGATGTTTTATAGAAAGAAAAAAAATGCAGAATATTCAGCCTGGGAGGGAGAGCTGAAAATACTAGGTGCTTGTAGTTTGTACAGCTGTCATAAAAACAATTGGGTGATTATTTTTTTTTTAATGAGGTCTTGCAAGTGGAGTTAAGAACTGAAAGGTGTTTCTTGTAGAAACTTAAAGGGATGTTTCATTTGGTTTCTTTTGATTTATCATGGACCATCTCTTGTCTCTGTGATCTGTATTGCTTATCTCACTTGGCCAAATTAGACCAAGCAGAAACAGAACAAGTAATAAATAAAATTGCCCATAACAAACACAGAAACAAAGGGAAAATCATAATTTTTTTATCTTTCTTTCCTGAGGTGCAAGAATTATAGGCATGAAGGCTCAGCAGTGTTATTTTGCTGGTTGCAAGTGTGGAGGATTAGTTTCTTGAGTGCCAGCACTAGCCGTGGTCCTGGGTTACAGGGGGAAAATAGCAGTTCACTTGTGTGGGGCTGCTGCCCTCCTCTGGGCAGACCTTCTTCACTCTGCTACTCTTGGAAAGGTTAGGCCAGATTTGGTGTTCAGACATGCAGGTACAACCTGCCCCTGGTGCTCTGAACGTTTTGTATGCCTGACATCAATAATTTGAACAGCTCAGTGAAAATACAAATATCTTAAGGAGCTGCAGCCTAGGCACACTGCCTCCCCTGAGTGCTGCCTCCTCTGCCACACACTCCCATGCCAGGTTCCCTGGAAGTACCTTATGTTCTTATGGCATACAAACCTTGCTTGCAACCAAGCTTGCAACCATCAGTTTATTCAGATATGGAAAATAACTCTACCATAAGGCAGGTGAGTTCAACATGTCTGCCAGGTCCTGACCAATTCAGAGGGATTTGAATGCTTGTAGTGTATTTTCTTCCCCTGTTTCCCAACTTGAATTGGTTATATGTTATCATTTAACTGAACATTTAACAGCAATGTGCTTAGGGCTTACTGCTACCTTTAAAAATATAAATGTGATGGACAATGAGCAGCAAGGGGCAGTAAAAACCTAAGCTTGGTGATGTTCAATACCATCAAGATGATTGTACCCTTCCCTGTTCTTCCCCCCATTATGAGACTCATCTTTCAGAGGCACGTCCAATTTCTGCTGATTTCAGTGTTACATACAGAATTTTGGAAAAAAAAAAAAAAATACTGTAACATACTTCTCTACCACAAGGAAAAAAAATAATCATGTGTGTTGCTAACAGTGAAATTCTCATCCTGCAGGAGACCCTGGTCGTTACTGTTTGAAATTCATGTTGGATCTCCTAAAATATTGTAATATTTGGGAAGGGACAAGTGCTAGTGGACAGTACAAAGAAGTGGAAATTAAAGCTTATAAAAATTTAAAAAATGAATTTCCTTTACCTGCTTGCTCCAAACATTGCATTGTAAATTAAGGGTAGAGTGTCTGAGAGCAGGAACTTCATCTGATGAAATACTTGTAGGTGTTTTTCTTTTCCTTTTTTTTTTTTTTCCTTTCACATCACTGGTGCATTATGAATATTTATGAATCTGTATCCTTTTAAAGGGAATAAAGGAGAATAACATTCCTGTTTTCTGGTTTCACAGAGATCCCCAGAACTCATATGGAGTATGAGAACAGGCTCACTATGAAAATGTTTTTGTTCCAGTTTGTCAACTACTATTCATCCTGCTTCTACGTGGCCTTCTTCAAAGGGAAGTTTGTTGGTTACCCAGGTGCCTACACATACATGTTTAATCGCTGGAGAAATGAAGAGGTAAGACTTCCTTGATTAAGCTGGATTGTTCCCTTCAACCCGTGCAATCATAAATTTCCAACTGCAGGGTTGGTCTGAACTGAGCTGGACCTCAGCTGGCCATCCTGAGGCTGATGGTGGGGCTTCCAAGGACTCTTCCTTTTGTTGCTAGTCAGGGAAACAGAAGCTGTGAAAATCTGTCAGTCACAAGAGTGAAAAATCAAAAAGCTTTCCTTGGCCCCAGTTCTCCTGAAATATCACTGGGTCTCTCTCCTTAGCTCTTAAAAAAAAAAGTCTGGTGCTGAGAGCTCAGTGAGAGCCACAGATTTGCCTTGCTGGGGCTGAGGGGTGGGGACCACATGCAGATCCTGCTGCTGAAGCATCTCTGAATTACTCTGTCTTCAGATGGTGGTTGTGTTTTGGTGGGTGTTTTATCACACGCTTTGAGCACTGAAAGCCCTTCTGTAACAGCCTTCCTGGGAGGGTAGCTCAGCTGCCAGCCCAGCTGGAAATTAAGTGTTGTCCTAACAAGTTTGAGAACTCCTTTCATTCATTTATGCAGTAGCAGAATATGGTTTATCTGGGTAATGCCCATTATTGGTGTCCATTAACCCCCGGGTTGTCTCCCCCAGTGTGACCCTGCGGGCTGCTTGATAGAACTGACGACACAGCTCACCATAGTCATGGCTGGCAAACAGATCTGGGGGAATATCCAAGAGGCCTTTGTACCGTAAGTTCTCTCTTCCACTGAGATGCTCATCTTATATAGCCAGAGGAAGTTCTTGGAAGGAGTGATAACAAGTATTGCCATATGAAGAAACTAAGAATTCTGTAAATCAGACACAGATTCTGACAAGTAGACTAATTTCATAGAGGCTTTTGGCCTATTCCTGTGAAAGCTATGCTTGTAAAAGCACATTGCTTGCTTAGAGAAAGGGAAGACTTCACAGATTTCACAGAATATTCTGAGCTGGAAGGGACCCACATGGATCATCGATGCCCAGCTCTTGAGTGAATGGCCCATACAGGGATCAAACCCACAAACTCAGTGTTATTAACCCCATGCTCTAACCAACTGAGCTAATCTGATCTGCCTCACTCATTGTTAACTTTTCTCTGCATATGCAGCTGGATTTGTAACTGGTGGGGTCGTCGGAAAGCCAGAAATAATCCTGAAAATTTATACAGTCGCTGGGAGCAAGACCATGATCTGCAGACATTTGGAGCCTTAGGCCTGTTCTATGAATATTTAGAAATGGGTAAGTTTAAAATTACACATTTGGAATTGAGGACAAGACACCTTGTACTGACACTTTCAAAAAAACAGCTTCTCGATTCATTGTTATGGGTTGATTCATCTGCTTAACTGCTGGAAATCATTAAATAGGTCAGCCTAATTAAAAAAAAAAGCTGTCTTTGCATCTTGAACTGCAGGGAATTTCACAGAAACACTGCAAAGACTGTTTGTTTCCCTCATTTGAACAGGGAACATTGTTCTCAGTGCAGCCAGCTGCCTCCGTGTCCTGTTCTTGTTCCAAAGCATACTCTTAGCTGATGCAGTGGAAATTTTAAGTATGGGATGAGTGCCAGATATGCTGTAAGGATGGGTACTGCAGACGTGAGATCTGTGAACTGGCTCAGGGAGAATCCCTTCAGCTTTAGCTTTGCACTGATCAGTGCTTCCCTACAGTCCAGCAGAGGGAGCCTGGGTGATGGAGCAGTGCTTCCCAAAGGTGAGGGGAACACGTCAGCATATAACGTCACTTTACTAAACCTGAGAAACTAAAACTAAAACTGAAGCCAAGCCAAATCGGCACTTTAAAAAAATTAATATTTGTCTATTATGAGGACACATTTTGTTGAAAAGTGGACCTTTGTATTATTTGATTTCTACAGAAATAAATGTTCTAGAGATGTTTAGCGTTATTATTGTCACTTAACAATTAATTTCATACAAGGCTGTGATCTTGTGAAATTAATACACTCAGAACAGTCAGTGTTGTCAGCCATGCCCTTGCTCTTCCAGAATCAACTGAACCAGTGTGCTCCAGTGTTGTCCTGGGGCTGCTAAGCTAATAGGAATTTTGTTGCTTGTCCAAGGTGAAGAACTCATCACTGAAATCATGGAAGAGCTGATGGCTGGTGTATGGGAATTTATTTTTATCCACTGGCTAAACCAGAAAAAATATTCTATTTCCCGTTTTTGAAATATAGTGGCACTATTGGCTCTGCACTAAGATATTTAATTTTGGTAATATCCGAAAGGATCATTTGTGTATTTTATTTGCAGTTCTTAAACCAATGTAAAGACTCTCCAGTGGAACTATTGCATACTGAATTGGTATGAAAGTTTTGACTAAATCAGTACCAATAGGTGGAGGTAAGGTTGTGATAAAAGTAAAAGTATTTCTTCTTTTCCAGTTAGGAGTATAGTTAATAAGTAAAAGGAGAACAGGATTGCTCTGTACAAACTGCAGGAGAAGAAAACTACCTTGTTGGTCTCTCATAATTCAGAAATTTGATGTATGGGTTCATCCCAGTTGCCCAACAGTTACACACCACTCATGCAAGAACTGCAGCACCATGGAAGAATTGGTACCCAGCACTGCTGGCAGCAGCATTTCACAGGACCCAAATGCCTGTTCCTGTGGCTGCTGCTGAATGGCAGCCTGAAGAGACTGCAGAAGGCTTGGGGCTGGGGCTGGTTGTCACTTGGCTCAGGCCAGGGCTGGACATCATTTGTTGTGCAGCCTGGCAGAAGTTTGCCATTTGTCTGTGAGTGGCAGTCCCTCGTCACCCTGAGGTGAGGTGCCCCTTTTGTAGGGGCAGATTTTGACACTTTCCTTTTCTCCCTTGCAGTCATTCAGTTTGGATTCATTACTCTCTTCGTGGCATCCTTTCCCTTGGCTCCCCTTCTTGCTCTGATGAACAATATCCTGGAGATTCGAGTAGACTCCTGGAAATTAACCACCCAGTACAGGAGACCTGTGGCTGCGAAAGCACACAGCATAGGAGTCTGGCAGGAAATCCTGAATGGAATGGCCATCCTGTCTGTTGTCACTAATGTAAGTATGTTAACTGTGCTACATCAACGCTGATTCTTCCATGTACTCAAAATGTGAAGACTTAAAAATCAACAGATGCTTTTTCTCCTTCATCAGCACTATCACGTTGCCCTACAGAAATATCATCAAACCATTTGGGTGGTTTGGCTTCCCCTTGTGTGGACAACAGGCAGCTCCCAATCCACATTTCCTTGGACCATGATCTTTCATTCAGTTGTCTGTGTTTTCCAGCCTTTTGGAATGGCATAGTCCAGTCAGAGACTTAGTCTGATGAACCACACTGATTGCCCAGAGGGGACTATAGGGGACAGGAAAGGTGGATGAATTCTGTGGGTGAGATGCATTTTTGTCCTGGTCACTATGAGGCCTGTTCTGTGGGAATTTTGCTCATTCAGGTGCTTCTGGATGCCCCTGTGGGAGCAGTGGCTCCTCTTCACAAATTGGAAATTAAATGCTATGCCAGTGTTTCATCTAAAGCATACTGTAAAGAGACTGCTGAGCAAAAGAAATGCCTCTTTCTAGTGTGTTTTAGGCAACCAATCCACTTGCAGGTATTGCCTAAGTAGCAAGACCCCTCTGCCCTTTCAGTATCTCAAGTTTCGAGTCAAAATGTGCTGAAGCTGCACTCAGCATCTCTTACCAAGTGCCCTAATCGTGCTTCTTACCCTTCCTTAAAATATTCATGGTAACGCCAGGGTGACAGAACTACAACCCCTTTATGAATCTGCTCACAAATTTTTTGTGCCGCTTTCTTAATTTCTTTTTCCAATTTCTTTTCAGGCTTTTATTGTGGCATTCACATCAGATATGATCCCTCGTTTAGTTTACTACTATGCTTATTACGAAAATGAAGACTCACCTATGTCTGGATACATAAACAACAGTCTGTCAGTGTTTCTAATCTCAGATTTTCCTGACAGAAACAAACCTAAAGAGAATCCAGAAGACTTTGTCATCTGCAGGTTGGTGATATTTTATCACTTTGTTTAGAATACAGCATAAAAAAAATCAGAGCAAATCTGAGTAGTCCATTAGAAATTAAATTATGTCATTCTGATCATTCTAAAGTGTGAGAGGTAATATTTAGGCTATGAACAAGGTAGTGCTTGAGGTGTTAAGAGCTCAAGCCAGTAACAAAAAAAATCACCTCAAAAAAAATCACTGCTGAGAGTCTCACTGCTAGTGTACTTCCTGCTTTTTTTTTTGTTTACTTAATTAAACTGTTGATTTTTGAGTGATGAAGGAGATTTATGTCCCTAAGGTATCAAACTTCAGCCTATATTTTCAAAGGTTTCCAGGCTGCATCAGTGGACAAGGAAGCAGCATAAAGGAGATCTTTAGATTCCAAAGTGGAAAACAAGATATGGTCTTTTAAGTCAATCCTTGTTTTGCTCGATAACACCAATGATCAGACCTGTCCTGCTTTCATTTTAAAAACGGTCCCTTCTCGCTAAGAGAAGCACTGGAGATTCTAGAATAATCATGAAAGAGCTTTGGAGAAGTCCATGGTAAAAGAAAAGTATTGACTTGGTGATAAAAAATCTCAAATTGAAAAACCCCAAACCAACCACCTCAGCACTTTCAGAAGCAGCTACATTTGTGTGACGTTGTAGAACACTTACTCAGAACTGTCCTTCCGTGAAACCCTGCTTCTGTCCAGCCCACAGCCTGTCACAGTTATACATGTCCATTACCATGTGATACATCCCATCACTGTCCTGTTTTATTTGATCATTGTCTGAAAAACAAGTAACCCATGTACCAGGTCTCACAGGTCACACATCCTCATCTCTGCTCTGTTGCTGTGGATGTGAGGGTGTTTAGGCAAACAAAAGATAGAAACAAATTGAGAGGCAACCTTTTTCTGCAAAAGGAAACAGACCATTTAAAACAAGAAAAGGTTCCTTAAGTGACAGCTGTATTTGCTTGTAAGTGTCACTAAGCTTGTAGTCTGTCCCAGGCTGACTGTGACATTCCACCTTTGCATGTCTGTCATTCCAACAGGTACAGAGACTATCGATATCCTCCAGATCATGAGAGGAAATACTTACACAGTATGCAGTTCTGGCACATTCTTGCTGCAAAACTGGCCTTTATAATTATCATGGAGGTAAGTTGCCTGCAAAATTTCCTTCAGAAATTGGTACCTTATAGATTCTCTAGATAGTTTAATAATGTTACAGAAAATAGGATTGCTGGGAGTATGAAACAATTTCTTCTCTAAGTAATACCAAGTACTCATGTCCTAAATGATTACTATTATTGGGCCTTTCAACTTCAGCAAGTTAACCTCAGACTAGGAGCAGTGAAAACACCTGAGGAGACTGCTAATGTTAATCAAAATCACCAGCAAAATAAAAAAGGTCTTTATACAGGTGGAAGAGATGTGAACCACCAGGACTAGCACTTGTCTCACTTTCACAAAGTATTTTGCAGTGATGTATATTGGCTAAAAATAGCTAAATCAATAGTTGGGGTAACTGGCACTTCAGTGTTAAGCCACTGTTGAGCAAGTTATGAAGGGAAAAGGGAGTAGTTAAAGTGCTCTTCTCACCCCTTTTCCTGCTGTGCTTTATCAGCTCTCAGTAGCTGAGCCTTATCAACATGGCTGTGTGAACTAACAAACCACACAGGGGACTTAGAAAGCCAGAGCTGAGATTCAGACCCTGACACTTCCCTCTTGGGTTTGCTAGTTTCCCATTAATGGTTGGGAATTAAAATTTCTGCATAAAAGGATGTGTTTTAATCTTCATGCACATTTTAGATACACGTTAGCTTGGTATTATGTAGTGTTCAGAGACAGCCACATGAAATGTTTTCTCTTTGTGAAGAGAAAGTGACCTTTTTGGTGTTAGATAAAAAAAGAGGTGTTTCATTTGGTAATGAGTTGTTACTTTTTTTTTTTAGCATGTTGTATTCATCGTCAAATTCTTTGTAGCGTGGATGATTCCTGATGTCCCTGCAGATGTGAAAGCCAAGATAAAACGTGAAAAGTATTTAACACAAAAAATCCTGCATGAGTATGAACTTGAAAAACTGAAGGAGAGACTGTGTCAAGGTGATAAACGAGCCACAGAGAAAGAGTTCATCGCCACAGAAGGGAGAATGGAGTTATCCCGAGCAATGTAGCCATGAAACCAACTGTTTGGGATTTAGCTCATTTTAGCTTTTTTTGTCTGTGGTCTGCTCAGTATGTGTCACGTTGAAAGCTGTAGGAGGGTTCAATCCTTCACTTTCAGTCCAAAGATTTTAGACTTTTCTTTAAAAGTTTTACTGAGCTTTCAAGGTTTAGGAAAATCAACTGTTTGACTTCAGCACTGGTTTTTATTTACCCGTGACTTTGACTAATAACTGTAATCTTGTAATCCTAGAATTTGGACTCCTGGTATAGGGACTGTTACCCTCACAAAGGGCTCACAGGGTATGATAAGGTCATTACCACCAAGCCCTCTGTTGCTAACTGCAAAGTTCCAGGCTGTATCCCAGCTGAATGAAAGGGATATCATAGAGGACTGCTCTGTGGAAAATGCTGAGAATTACTATTATGTTATGTGACCATTTAAATAGGAGAACACTCCTGATACAAGGGTTAGGATTTGGGGCTTTTTTTAATTATATCCACTATGTCTTATGAAACATTGGTTTGCAGCTTTGAACTTCTATATGTTTTGTAGAAGGAATTGATTTTTTAAATTTATATTGGCTTAATTCCACTTGGAATTATTTATAGGCATAGAATTCAGTTAATACACACTAGTGAAGTAAACAAAAAGCCATAATTTATTTTTATAAAGATATAATTTGCCAAAGAGTTTGCTCTTTAAATGTCAATATTGTGGAATCATCTAATTGCAGTGGCTTTTGAAAATATGTGTCCAGTTTGGAGAAGTACAGTTATTTTATTTCTCAGTCTCAAAACCTGCCATTTTTGGAAGATTACGTTTGACAGTTTTGGCCAAAGCTGCTCCTTTATTTATTTATTTGTTTGGATTCTCTGTGAATGCCAGCAAAGGGCTGAAGCTGTGTGTCTGTACTCGGTGCCCACTGTGGAGAGTGACTGCACAGGGCAGTGGGCTGGGAGCTGGGCCACCACACTAATTGATCTGGCTGGATGGTTTGTTCTTGGACTTGCAGCCAAAGGATTTTAAGCAGGCTGGATAATCAATGCTTATGCTGTTATTGTCCTTATACATAGGAGCTTGGGGTTTTGGGGTTGTTCTTTTTGTTTTGTTTTTTTTTATTTTTAATCTTTAAGAAGGGTATTTTTTTCTGTTTTGTTATGGGGCTTTTCTACAAAGTTACTGAATTTATAAATGTATAATAACTACTTGTGCAAAGTAGCTTCCAGCTGTTTATGAATGTGCCCTCATTTTCTAATTTGAAGCATTTTAGGCATTTTTATGATTTTGCTGTATATTTAAAACATATCAACGCTTCCATGCTTAGTGCCTTGTTTCTTTGCATCTGGCAAAAGGTGTGAAAATTATCTCTGTTGGGCAGTGCCTATTTCCAAAGTGTGCTTTGCAGGCACCTGTGAACCTGCAGACAGAGCTGTTCAGTGTTAGCCAAACCACACCTGCCTTGGCACACTCCTGCTTCAGTGCCATGTGAACTGTTCCAGAGAGCACTTCAGGCCTAGATGGCTTGGTTAAAGTAACATGTAACTGAGTTCTCTCGTGCTGAAGTACTCAAGCTAGACAAGATAAGAAAATTTTACTCTATTTGCACTTTGAAAGTTATACTTCCTTGCAAGTATGCACACAAAAAATTGAGGTTTGTATTCCACGTCAGCCGAATCCTGTACTGTTTACTACCACCACAGCTTAAGGTATGTTGTTTTAAGCAAACCTTGGAGTTCTTGGTGAGTAACCTTAATGTTGTAACAGTTTTAAATCAATGTCCTGAGTGGAGCTGTTAAAGGTTTAACATTAAGTGCCTACCTCGAGCAAACATCCCATGGTTTGGCTGCCAGTCCAGGAGATGATGCAGATGTACATTTCCCGTTCCTCTAAGTTATTCACCTTCGTTCTCTAAGTTTGCTTGAGCAATCAAGCACATTGGCAATTCATGTTCATCATGAACTGACCCATGTTCTTGAATATTCAGATATCTTTGTAGTGGATTTATTAGAGGAATGCATGTGTAAATAAATTAGCTCTGCTGCTTAGTGTGTAAGCCAAAGAAGAGTATCATTCGCCATAATTACATATCCAACACCACGATTTGCACAAGGAAAGCACTGTGCTGCTTCCTGCACATATACTGTTAATTAAACTGCTTGATTTAGATGTCATGGTTTTGCTACTGTTAGCAATGCAAACAGTTGCTTCAAACAGAAAGGTGATGAGATGCTAAAGGATGTTTCTATGCAAAACGTACAATCTGATTGAAGCTGCAAACAAATCTGGAAATTCAGCATTAGATGCACTGTTTCTGCTTATGGAACATTAGTTTCTTCAGGTAATAAAGTGTCCTAATATACTACACTTGAAAAGATGTCAGCAAAATAGGTGTGTTGTGAATGAGCAATGCTATTTAAAAGCAAGATGGAGGAAAGCAAGGAAATACCTTGGGACACAGCATTGATATGCAGAAGCCCTGCAATGCAGACCCTGAATCTGAATTATGTTTTGACTCCTACTCTGTGATTCTTTCAAACTTATCTTTTTCAGACCATTTGCTATGTAATACAATACAAACAGATGTTTTGCATATGTTGTATCATATTATAGAAAGTGGACAAAATCTGGGATCAACTTATTTAAAAAGAAATATATATATATCTTAAAAATATGTCATGATGCTTCATGGTATTAGTTTTTCATATACAGAAACTGTTGAAAAGAGAATTCATTGTCATATTAAGAGCTAACATCACATAACAAAAAAAGCCTTTACATAATACTTTGCCTTTACCTGTCATTAAGCAGTATTCTAACTAAAGATATCAGTATGGTTAGGTTTATAATGGTTCACGTACATTTGCTGAAGCTCTTGAAAAAGTGACAAAAGTCAGAAAAATGGCCTGATCAGTTTGGAGATGTGCTGATTCTTACTATTGGAATATTTCATTTTGATGTGTTTCGGTACCTAAAAGTGTTCTTTAACCAAAATAAAGAGAGTTCTGAGTTGGAACTACTGTAATTTAAGCAACAATAGATTGCCTCATTAGAATTAGTTAGAAACCCAAAAATTGCCTTCCAGGTGTAATACAATCAGGGATTTCTTTTTTTTTTTTTTCCAATTAAAATTTGGCATTTTTTACCTGGGAAAGATTTAGTGTGGTATGTTCTAAGCAAAGGACTGCAAAAGAAGAGTGCTACTATGAGACACTATACTATTTTTTTATAGAAAATGTTCTTATTATGCTTTTACTTTTTTATGCAATACTGTCAGTTTGAGGCAACAGAATGGAGTGAAAATAGGTGGACTTTCTAACTGTACTGCTGACTTTTTACATGTACTGCTTGTTTGACTTGTACTGTCGTGTAATCCGAGTGGCATTTTTGTCTGCTAAGTATGTTGCTGATATATATGATACACTAATGTTGGAATAAATTTTTTAAACATTGCATTCAGCTAACATTTAATATGCACATTTAATAAGATTTAAATCTGGCCAATAAAGCTGTGTCTATTTTTAATGTGCTGTCAACTTGTTTGTGCAAATTCCACGAATTCTGAGTGGAGCTGAACTATTGAAAGTCAAAATGCCTAGAGAGCCTCTTGGAGAAGTGTATTTATACAGATTCCTGCAGCTCATGTATGGTACATTAACACAGATCCATTTTCAGCCAGGCTGCTTTTGCCTGCACTCTCTGAGCACAGTTTTTATTCTTGCAGTGCCAGGACCTGAGGTGACTTCTCGAGTTCTCAGTCCCACATGCAGTTTTCACACGCAGCACAAGTGGTTCACATACATGCACTTTAAATAGCCTTGAGCACATACACTGGAAGACATGGCAGAGCTGAAGCTTTCCCAAGCAACTGGTGAAGTCTTACTATACATATTTTCCTTAAAACTCATTTCTGGCACCAGTGAAGGGCTTTGGATTAAACCACGGGGAATCTGGGTTGAAGTTTATGACTTGCTCTCAGTAGATGGTTTTATCCCAGCACGTCACCTCTCCTGTTGTACCACAGTATCAGAACTCTGGGAACAGAGTCACCTGCCACACTTGGTGGGTCATTTCCTTTGCAACCTTGAAATGATTAAAATTAATAGACATGCAAGAGCAGTAATCAAATTAAAGAAAGGTGTGAGATGAATAAAAGAATCTTCTCTATTAAAAAAGGAGGGGGGAAAATGCCAAAATAAGCAAGGTATTATGTATTGTGGTGTGCTTGTTACTGAGGTGAGATAAGGTACTTAATTAGCTATCAAAAGGAAAACTAGAGCATTAAAATGGAGAAGAAGGTGATAGCAAAGGAAAGAGAAAGGCGGGGGGAGAAAGGATGAAGGAAAGTGCTGTTGCTGTGCAGGATATAGGGGATATTTATGTATCATGTTGGGAGTTCTCAGGTGCACTCAAGCTTTGTTCTTTGGAGGTTAAACCTTGCCACCACTGAGGCCTGTAGTAAATGGGTAATTTAAGGTTTAATTGGGGGTAGAGTATCATCCAAAACCCATTATATTTTATTAAAAAAGAGTAGCATGGTAGCTTGTGAGACAGTCACAAATTCTAGAACATACCTGGCTCTCCCCATGATTGGAAATTGTAGCTACCCATCAAAAGTCGTAATTTCTTCATTTGTCTTGTGCAGTAAATAAGAGATGCGGCAAAATTCAGTGGTTGTACTTTTTGAATCAGAAAAATGGGTAAGGCATCTAATTCAGCCACCCAGATTAAAAGGATCTTTCTAAAAATAGGACCGTGTTTATTCTGTGCAAAAAATGGTGGGGAGCACTGAAATAGAAGCCATTTTTCTAGCATTTGCATCTGAAATGGTGTAAAACACGTTGTCTTACAGGAGCAGAAAACTATGTAGCCCACTCACTAGTGGATCAGTGGGAAAGAACAGCAATATGTGGAAGAAACAGTATCCTGGCCTCTGAAGTCTGCAATTTGTTTGAGATGTGTAGGATCTGAAATAAATAAAATCTTGCCCTGAAAACATCGTCTTAAATGTTTAGGACCCACTGCTGAGAGACACAAGGGAGGGCTCGGGGGTTCCCTGACATCTGCTGTGGCAAAGAGATTGTACCAAGAGAGGGCAAAGGGAGCCCTCACAAAGGACTTATTTAAAAGTACTCCCTTCCCTAAATAGAAAGAGGTAAAGGGGGAAAAAAAAGGATAATCATTACCATATGAAGGATAACAAAATGATTTCCAGAATACCTGAATTGCTGTGTAACCTCATTAAGCCACAGCTATTATTTCTTGCCTTCTTCCTTGCTAAGGGTGGTCACAACAACTCTTGGCTTGGCATCCTTAAAAAGGAATAGCTAAATTAAATCTCGGTCTGCTTTTAAATAATCAGTTGTCTCCACACAACACTTACATCATTCAGATGCAACTGAGGAAGGCTTTTTTTTTTTTTAAATGTAAGTATTTGTACCAAGAAATCTGCCAGGAGATGAGTAGGATGTGAAATTCAGCAGCCATCTCAATTTTTGGAATGTGCACACGCACATTCCCCTGCCATAATTAGTGACTATGCTTTCTCAGTCAGAAATGAGTCAGTCTGAAACATTTAGCGAGGATAGGATTCTTTTGAGTTATTTTTTCAACTGCTCAACAAACCAGTGCTGTTGGCTTGTCAGAAATACTTTTGTTTAAATTATGGACTGACCTACCATTGTCCTTGGGTGTTCTAAGCATCCAACACTATTCAGCATTTTGGTTTTGGTACTGAAAGATGCAGAGGCCATAGCAACTGCTTCTGTCATCAAGAGACATTAAATAAACGAGCCTTACTGTTGTGTTGTCCCTTCCATAACCACGGTAGGTTTGAAACACTTGATGTTGTGAGTCTGTCTGGCCCACACCAGCAATCCTCAGCAATGAAAAGCTGAAATGGCAGAAAAGCTCTAGCTCAGATGACCTCTAGTTCCTTGGCTTTTACTTATTTTTCTCAGCTAGTGTTTGGTGCAATGTAGTAGGAATAGTGCTGGAATGTTCCAGCACTGCATGCTTGATGGCTCTTTTCATAGGTTTTTCAAAGAGGAATAAAAATACTCCGGACAGAAGGTTTTAGCAGGGAAAACTGATAGGAAGTCTGGGTTCCCTGCCATGTTACCTCATCACAACAGACAGTTTTCCTGTCAGATTCTCTTGCATAAACATTTCTGCTGACATTAGCCCATTACTAGAGTGTCAACAAATGGTAATGCTACAGGTAAGCCTGTTCTCTGGTTGTGGCATCTATATATTATTCTTCAAATAAAATTCTGGCTCCATCTGCACTGATGGAAACTGTACTATTATTTTCAGATGTGGCCAAGATTTCAACGTCTCTGTAACAAAAATGCAGCTAAAAAAACCCCAAACAGCTGAAATAGTTGGGCCAAGAGATTTCTATACACCTTACCACATAATGACAATCTGTTAATTTTAGGGTGTCATGCTGCTTTGAAGCAAGCTGCTAGTGCATTGCAATCAGGAAGGATTCCCTGTTTCCCCCTTTCACATAGGATTGCCTCTGTGTCAGTGACAGCTTTTTAGCTTCCCCAGAAGCAGCACAGGAGACAGTGTGGAAGGAAAGTCTCATATTTTGAGGGAACAACAAGATCCCATGTGTTTTATGGTAAACAATAAGCTCCTCAGTGCTTTTCCTTTGTATTTTTGTTGCTGTGCATTTATGTGGAAATAACAAATGATTCTGTGGCTGCAACTGGCCTATCACAGTGACTCGTGTTTTTATTAGAAGATGCCACAATATACCAAGTCACCACATACCAACAAGCCATTAAACTTTTTCATCAGCTGGGATTGGTAAAAGGTTGATGAACTAGTTAATGGAGGTCAGTGCTGTGGTTAGAAAGGTGATATGGGGAGAGGAAATCAAAGCAGGAAAACACCCTGCTTCATACTTTTGCTTAAGTTCAAAGTACTAGGGTTACATGCTGAACGTGTGGAGGGAACTGAATATAGGAAGGAATTGTGAAGTCCTTATTAATGACTTTATCTTCAAAAGGAGAAAGGTGAATAAACAGAGAGGTAAGGGCTCATGAACTGGAGAAAACAGAGAAACTGAGGCACCAGGTGGGCTCAAAGCCAGACCATGCAGAGGAACTGTTAGTATTT